CATGTAATACGACAAAATTAACAAATAAGAATCTTCAACTCCCTCAATCTTCCAAGCTAAGGTCTCGGAGACGGCTCAACACCTAAACCTGAAAATGATGTCCCATATAGGGTGAGCCAACGCCCAGTAGAGATATGCTAAACATAGTATGAACGATAACTAAAGTGTCAGTGATTGATAAATGTCTAACTCGTACACAACAACTTATAACACTAGTCAATCCCATGACTAATACATCCATGTTCTATTCCAGTTTCCATTTCCTATCAGATTCTCGATTTATAATTACGATTCAGAACTAGGCCAATCATTTTGAATGAGATCACAGTTCATGGCTACGGTATTTCTATTTCAGGTGAGATAATAACCCATTTTAAACATTTCATACTTCATGATAGATACACATATTGGTGTTGTATCACAGTCAGACAACCATTCCCATGCTTCTCAAATGATATTTATTTTAGTGCTATATCAAATCAAACAAAACACTTCCATACTTTCTACATGATATACATTTTAGTGCTATATCAAATAAACATAGAAACACTTCTATACTTCCCACCTAATACACATTGTAGTGTTGTATCAATGTCAAACAGTTTCCGGTTTGGAGGTCCATCCCCCATCTTTCAATAAACCGTGGAGTACATCCTTCATCTCCTCCCACACAAAGCAATGTATAAAAGCAGTTATCATATACAAGTTCAATCAATCAATACAAATAATACACATTTTAGTGTTGTATCAATGTCAAACAAAACACTTCTAGACTTCACAAATAATACACATTGTAGTGCTGTATCAATGTCAAACAATTTCCGGTTTAAAGGTCCATCCCCCATCTTCCAATAAACCGTGGAGTACATCCTCCATTTCCTCCCACACAAAGCAATGTATATAAACAGTTATCATATACAATTTCAATCAATGCATAAAATTAATGTATTCTTTCAACCGTCATATTCGATAACGCATCCAATCGATTAGTTTTGGTTTGCCTAATCATCATGCATTGTCTACAACAATCAAAACTACCCTCCATCGGTAGCCCAAGGCAATTATTTCTAAACAGATAATAAAAGCACCAACAGATAAATTATCCGCATTTTCAAAAGTGAACGATTTATTAATCTGACTCCACTATTCCATCTCATAATGAACCACTAACATTATATTCAACTCAATTTCATAAATCCATAACTTTCCCAAATTAATTATACCAATTAATTTATACACAATTTAGGACTTTCTCCCCATTTTCTCAATCTTGACCCCCAATGGTCCAAATATTACCAAAAATATCAACATACTCATTTTGAAACCCAAATACACAGTTATGGTTCAAAAGAAACAAAACCCCTCTTTTCAAAATCACACATTTGAAACCCTAACTTCCAAAATCCAAAACTATTTATACAAAAGCTCACAATCTAGGTCAAAGCCCATAACGATGAGTAGGAATCCTTACCTCAAAGATGAAACCCAACGAAGAAGATGAAGGAAACGAAGATGCTCCAAATCCCAAAATTCTTGGATCAAAATATAGCCCTCAACGATCAACACACTTTTTACAAAGGCCAAAGGATAGGGAGACACTCTAACTAGATCAAACCCTAGAGAGAAGGGAGATCCTAGAGAGAGAGGCTCTCAAAATCGATTTTGAAAAAGTAAGAGAGAGAAAGGAAATGTAAAAAGTGATTTAAAATTACCCAGCGGATGACTCATATACGTATGACCCACTCGAGCGGAGAATAAAACGCTCGAGTGTCAAGCACAAAAATTTGGTCACGCTCGAGCGCAAGAAAGCCCGCTCGAGCACCAAGAAACAAAAGCAAAACACATCCGCTCGAGCGCGAAGAACCAGTTCGCTCGAGCGTAGATTTTCACCTCCCAGAACTTTTCAGAAAAAGAACTACCCGCTCGAGCGCCAACAAGCCCGCTCGAGCGCGACCCGCTCGAGCACAAGAAACCCGCTCGAGCGTAGAAAACACACCTGTAGAAATTTTGCAGGGGCATGAAATACTGGAAGTGTGTAAACCCCGCTCGAGCGCAAGAAGACCCGCTCAAGCGGACCATTCAAAAACTGGGCAACAACAATGGGAGCTAAAGCTCTACCAACCTGTAACAACCAAGCCCAACACATTCTAAAACTCAAACAAAAAGCGTTTAAAGGTTGACAACACGATAGGTACAACTACCAACTCCACGGAACCGCGTCTGGAATACAACAGAACAGTAAAGGGATAACCGGGATCGCTATAAAGTCAGTGAGGGATAGTCCTTGTTTTGATATGCTGGAGGCAGAGTTTACTGAGGCAGAGGTATGGGATGCTGTCAAGGGTTGTGATAGGAATAGGGCTCCAGGTCCAGATGGTTTTAACTTGGCTTGCATTCAGAAACTGTGGAAGGTAATGAAGTCTAATGTGCTGAATTTTGTGTTTGATTTTCATAAGAATTGTAAGTTGGTCAAAGGAATTTCATCACCTTGGTACCTAAAAAGGAGAATCCAGTGGGGTTGGCGGATTATAGACCTATCAGTTTGGTTGGGTCGATGTATAAAATTCTGTCTAAGGTTCTTTTCTCAAGGCTGAAGGCAGTGATCCCTCAAATCGTAAGTGAAAACCAATCAGCTTTTATTGGAGGGAGGAATATTCTGGATGGTGTTTTGGTGGCCAACGAGGTTGTTGACAGTTGGAAGAAATCTAGAAGGAAAGGAGTGATTATTAAGTTAGATTTCCAGAAAGCTTATGATTCATTGAATTGGGATTTCTTACTATCCATGTTGGTTAATTTTGGGTTTGGGGGAAAATGGGTGGAGTGGATTAAGGTATGTATTACCTCAGCTAGGCTTTCGGTGCTTGTTAATGGATCTCCTACTGAGGAGTTCAGTCCACAGAAAGGACTGAGACAAGGGGATTCATTGTCCCCATTTTTATTTAGCATAGCTGCAGAGTGCCTAAGTATTTTGTTCAATAGAGCTTTGGATCTGAGACTGATAAAGGGGGTTAGGATTGGCTCGGATGGGTTAGTCCTTACTCATCTCTAATTTGCAGATGATTCTTTGTTATTGTGTGAAGTTGATGTTATGGAGATAAAGAATGTAAAGAAGATTCTGAGGTGCTTTGAGTTGTTATCAGGATTGAAGATAAATTACCATAAAAGTGTAATTAGTGGTGTGGGTATTCTAGAAGAGGAAATGTCTGAGTACGCATCAGTGCTAAACTGTGAAGTTAAGTGTTTGCCGTTCAAATACCTCGGTTTACCGCTGGGGGCTAACCCAAGTAGGAAAGTGACTTGGCGGCCTATACTAGACAAATTCAGAAGCAAACTAGCTGGTTGGAAAAGGAAACTGTTGTCATTTGCTGGGAGACTTGTTTTAATCAAATCTATCATGTCCTCGCTGCCTATATACTATATGTCATTGTTTAAGTTGCCACAGGGGATTGCCAGAGAATTGGATAAGCTTCAAGCTTCCTTCCTGTGGGGGGGATCCAAATTGAGGAGGAGGGGTCATCTAGTAAAATGAAAGGAAGTGGCGAAGCCTGTAGACCAAGGGGGCTTGGGGGTTAGGAGAGTGAAGGAAGTGAATAGTTGCCTTATGTTAAAATGGTGGTAGAGGTTTGGAGTGGAAAATAAAGCTTTGTGGAGGAGAGTTTTGAGCAGTAAATATAGGAATGAGGAGGGGAGTTGGAGCCCTCAAGTAATCTCTAATGTGAGATGTTCTAAAATGTGGATGGATATATTATTACAATCTGTACAGAGTAGCAGTTTAGTGGTAAGTTTTCTGGACAATTGTAAGGTGAAAGTGGGTAATGGACATAGAATCAAGTTTTGGGCAGATAAGTGGTGTGAAAACTTGAGCCTTAAAGATGCATTTCCACTATTGTACAGAGTAGTAGTTGATACGAGAGTGACTCTATATGATATGATGATCACGAAGGAGGAAGCTGGTGAATGGCCATTTCAGTTTAGAAGGGTTAGAAGGGCACTGTTTGACTGGGAAATAGTGGAATTAATCAGGTTGGTGAGTCAGATTGAGGCAGGTCCTAATCTTAGGTGCTGCTCAGAAGATACTCTTGTTTAGAAAGCCTCAGAATCTGGAATTTTTTCAGTTAAATCTATGTACAAGCTCTTGGTTGAGGGATCCACAAATAGCAGCACAGCTAGCACAAGGATTTGGGTTAAACATGTCCCACCTAGAGTGCAATTTTTTGGTTGGCTTGCTTGGAAAGGAAAACTAAAGATGGTTGAGTTTATGCACAGGATTGGTGCTCTGCCTGCTGGTGCATCTGTAGAGTGTTGTCTATGTAAATCTGGAGCTGAGTCTCTCATACATGTGCTTTTATTATGTCCAGTGGCTTGGAGAGTGTGGTATGAAATGATTAGATGGTGGAAGATTCAAGGAGCACTGCCAGCCTCAGTGGAGGACATGCTTGAATGGTGGGCAGGGATGGGTCATAACAAAAAGGAAAGAATGATGTGTAATGCCCTTCCTCTTGTTGTGATGTGGTCTCTATGGAAACATCGGAATGAATGTTTATTTCAGGAGGTTATCCCAAGTGTGGATGGAATTACGGATCTGATTAAGTTAAAAATGGCTGTGTGGTTTAAGAAAGTATTTAAGGAACATATGCTGTCAGTTCATGATTTCAAATTTAATCTACAGGGTATCAGATTCAGTTTGGGAGATGGTTCCAGTGAGTAAAGTATAGGAGGAAGCCTATTTTTTCTTACCAGTCCTACTGTAGAATACTCTTGGTTGGCATGCTAGCCAGCAGAGTTTTGTCTCAATCTGTGCAGTATAGTCTCAATCAGTTTAGTTTTTACAATCTTGTCTTCATGTTCTGGTGTTGGTTGGATAGATAGAAGTTGATGTGTGCTTTACTTCTCTATAGGAATTCAGTTCTTTTAACCATTGTTACTGATTGATCTGTATAAATTTCCCCTGCTATTTAGATGGCTCTCAATCTATTTTTTTGCTAGTCTTGTTGTTTCAGCTCTCGGGAGTTTTTGTGGTGCAAAGGGTTGGAGATGAAGGTTTGTTTGCTACAATTTTTTATGGTTAGCTGCAATGTAGATGGTCAGCTTGCAGATTTAGTTTGGTTCTGCTTCAGGTTTGGGTGCTGAGTAGTGGGCTACCTGTTGGGGTGTGCAATCTGCTTATTCTGGTGTATGCTGTTAGATTGCTCTCATCCTGTGTATATTGTTTCTGTTTCTCTTTGGTTTTTCCTTTGTGTTGGATTCTCTCCAACTGGTGCTCCGAGCTTAATGTAGCTCCGAGTTCCTCTTTATTGGTGTACTTGTTTTATGATTTCATCAATAAAGTTTTCTTCTTGCTGATCAAAAAATGATAATGGGTGCTTTGATTTGCAATGAAAGAATTACAATAAGGTTGTACAAAAATTATTTTTATATATCATTATTCTTATAAAATAAACTATACTTATTACCTGGTGAGCATCATTGGAGTATTCGCAATTGGAATTTTATTGTACCTTATCTTCTTTAGAATCATCGTCATTATTGTCATCAAAGAAATCATAATCATAAAATTTGAAACGGTTTGGGTGAGAAAAGAGACCACATTAGGTAGTGGTGGCTTAGTTGGGATTGGGTTAGTTTGCTATGATGCGCTGTGCACTTTCTTTCCTTTTTTGATGTAAAATTCATTTGAATGTATGGTTTTATCATCAATAAAGGTTTTTTTTGCTGATATAAAAAATAAATAAATAAAAAAGGTAGAGTGGTGGCAATTAAGGCACTGAATTAACTAAAGCCGAACAGAAGAGATCCGACAATGATCAAAATGTCCTTGGTGCGGTTGTAGAATAAGGTGTTGATAGATTAGAAATTAAAAGATAGGGTCGCTTTTCTTCATTGATGTTTGTGCTATCAACGAATATCATGAAATAAGAAGGGAGAATGTGGGCTTAATAACTTCAACGAAGAAAAAGGTAATGGATCACTATCAGTAGAAATTGGAAGAGAGATTTTAAAAAGAGAAATTAGGGTTTCATAAATGAGGTATGATGAGGAAATGAAAAAAGATTAGTGTTTTTTAGAGGTTAAAAATTAATTAGCAATTGACCCATACATTAGTTATGATCACATGGAGGCTAGGTTGTAGAAATTTGTTGTGTTCATTTATTATATAATGGGGTAGAATTGATGAGGGAGTTGGCATAGGAAGGAGGCAGGTTTGTTGGCCATTCATATGGACTAAAAAATTATTAGTTGAAATGTATAATCCTTTCTTAAGAGATTGGAAAGAAAAAGTTGTATACCTTCAAGAAACAGAAATGAAAGAATAGGTAGTGAGAAGTTAGGGGCCAATTCGTGGATGGGAAATATGTGAGGGCAGTAATTCTTTGGGATCGGAGGATGTTGATGAGGGAGGAATGTGAAATGTGATGTTTTCACTTAGTCGCTTCAAATATGGGAAAGATGAGTTTAAGTGGGTGTTTTCAAGCATTTATAGCCCAGTGGAGAACTCAAACAAGAGAGTTGTGGAAGACATTGTCATGGATTTGTCTATAGATAGGATGCTCTATAGACCATGTTTGTTTACTGGGATAAAGATCGATAAGGAGGTAAGGTTAGGTTATTGATTGTCCATGGGGGAAGGAAGCTGGAGAAAGCAAGGAGCTCAGCAGGGAGGGTAGATACCTGTCATGAGGTCAAGGGGAAGACAAGGATCATAGAGGATGGAAGGATGTGTAGGTGTGTTCGCTATGTTTGTGGACAACTTACCAGCTTCTTTGAATCCAAAGGGACTTTTTAATCTTTTCACAAAGTTCGAAGTGGTAAAGGATGTTTTTATTGAAGGGTTACCAACCCAAGGTTTGGTTTTGTGATATTTGATTGCATTGTGGCAGCCAAAATAGCTGTCCAGAAAGCCAATGGTCTTTAGGTGGATGATAGAGCAATAGAGGTAAAACATGCGGAGTTTGGAAAAGATAGGGCAGGTGAAGAAGCTGGAAGAATACCATAACGTACCCAAGTAAGGAGAACAGTGGTCCTAGTTGTTCAAGGTAGAGACGGTAGAACTGGGGCAAGTGGCCATACAGACCAGAGATCTTATGCAGAAGCTACGGTAGGAAAAAATGTAGGGGGCGTTGGGAGCATCATGTTAAAGGCAAAAGAGATAGGGAATGGATGGTTGTATGAGAGTATAATTATCCAATTAAGGCCTCAATATGCCAATATTAGTCTGAAGAAGGAATTGGAAGCAATAGGTATGAAGGATATTTCGGTGAGAGAAAGTGGGGGCAGGGATGTGGTTATAACATTCAGATCAAATGAGGAGAGGGCAATGAAAATGACACCTATTAAGGAGCTGATTGCGGAATGGTGTGACGATATCACCGAAGGGAACTCAGGGCAAGTGTATGGATCAGTTGTTATGGCATCCCGTTACACCTTTGGAATAGTACAATATAACTTGGGGAAAGGTTGCATCATTATCAAAGCTAAGCATCCCAACTATGTTGGCATCCAAAGCAAAACTAATCATGTGCATCTCCAAAGCCCCCAAGAAGAGTTAGAGAGGTTCCAACTCAATACACCCCCAAAAGCATACTCGCAATTACACCCTACCTCCTATGCAGGCTCTAATATGCAAAATATTGAACTGAAAGTCATTGATAGAATAGTGGAGGTCCTTGGATGTAGATTTGTGGCGGTCCTTTGTGGCAACAAGCCAATACGTAAAGTCTCATGCTTGATCCATAAATTTATACAATTTGAATTTGATTATTCAACTATTGATTCTCGCACCTTCAACTTCAGGACCAGACTTGGAATTCCTTTTTAATGGTTGATTGTGAGTGCCTTAAAATCTTCCATCCAATATTCTCGCAAGTAACCATTAAGTAAAACATTTTATTTTCTAACTAATACATTCCATATTTTCCTACTAAACCCTTAACTTAACCCAACTTATTTTTAAAGGAGTAGAGGAAGAAGAAGAGAAATAGAAAAAGTACTTCTGAATTTGCTTCAATACTATATATTAGAACAGTTTTACATAAGAGTTGTGCATGAAATCTTCCCATTCACATCATCATCATAGTCATGACCTCAATCATCATAATTTTTGTCGTTACTTTTACTTGTTGCTAAAAGAGATTTTGCCATAATTATCATATGGTTGCAATTAATCGAAGTAAAGAGAATGATGCGCAGCCTAGAACTTGCTTCTTTATACATGTGTATCGATGCATTTGATTTAACTGAGTTTTAAAGCCAACCATTGTTTATAAACTGTAAAGACTGCCACAAGTAGCATGACCATGTAAAAAGGTAACAATAGAGCTAAAAAAGGGTTATGCCTAAAATAAAGCCGGTTTGAAAAGTTGGCGTTAGTAACAGCAGATGACTAAAATGCGCATAAGTTTCTTTAATTGTCGTATTTCTTTTTCTTTCTTTCTTTTTTTTATAGGGAGGGAAGGAGGTTTTTTTATTTTGGTTATAATGCATATGACCATTAATCAAAGGTTCGAATGTTAATTTATTTATTTTTTTGTTGAACAGTATGGAAAAGATTTTGGAAAAATATGAGAGATACTCCTATGCAGAGAGACGGCTTGCTTCTCCTGATTCTGAATTACAGGTATTTTACTTGACATACCTCTCTTGCTCCTCTATTAATAAGAAAAAAATGCAAATGTTTTTTAGGTAACTTATTTAGTCCATCCACGGTTTCCAGCATTAATTGATAGAACCTCCCTGGTTTTTCTTCTTTTGTTTATTATTGATATATTAGAGCATCACCAATACTTCACCAATATTTTTTTAATCAAATTCAAATTTGATGAAAAATGGGTAATATCAAACCAAGGGAGAGAAAATTTTCTCGCCAAGAATTTATTAGAAAATTAGAATAATTCAACAAGAATTGATTTTTTTTTTTGTTTGGGGGGGGGGGGGGGGGGGAAGAGTAAAGATGGGAGTGTTCTATGCCAAATCAAGCTTTTAATATGTTGTTTGTGACTGTTTATTTTTTGTACTAATTCCTTGCCCATAAATAATATCTCTTTTCCTGAAAAAATTAAAAAAGAAAAGAGACAACCATTGTCTAGCAGAGATGGTTGTAGTTCTATCAATTTTGTATTCTTACTACAACAATTCTTATTGTTTTTGAGTTTTCCTGATGGAAGTATTCATTTCTTTTTAAACCTAATAACTTAATGGATAAAACAAATATGACAGAAGCAACAATAGTCCTATTCTCAATTTTGTGCAGGGAAGCTGGTCCATGGAATACCCCAAGCTCACAGCTCGGATTGAAGTCCTCCAAAGAAACATAAGGTATGTACGTGCTCTCCCGCTTGTTTAATGCTTGTAACACTAACAATCAATCGTTCACAGCTTCGCTCATGTTGGGAATCACCTTTTTTTTTTTCTTTTAGCTATTGGGAATCACATTCACTTGGTCACTTTTAATGACAAGTGCATTGCATGCTTATTTGAATATCGTATACACTAAGGTCAATTTTTTGTTCATGATCTTTGCATAGTCGATATATATATATATATATATGTTACAGGCATAAGTTCATTGTGTTTGGTATGATTTAGGTTCGACTTATTTTATGATTTGATTCCAAACGATTCTTCTAAAAATTAACAAAATGAAGATGATCCACAGTAGTTTCATGTCAACATTATAGGCACTATGTGGGTGAAGATCTTGATCCCTTGAGCGTCAGAGAACTTCAAAATTTGGAGCAACAAATTGACACTGCACTCAAAAAGATAAGATCGAGGAAGGTAAAATAAGATATTTTTTAAAATTAATATAAAAAAGCTTTATTAGCAAATAAAGTTAACCGAATTTATAGATTTCTTAATTTTATTAACCCTGCTGTATGCAGAATCAACTTATGCATGAATCTATCTCTGAGCTTCAAAAAAAGGTATTATCTTCTTCTTGTTTGATTGAAAATACACATTTATTCATATGTGCATGTGTGAATTCCAAGTTTTCACATACAATATTTGCTAATGTTACAAAGCAAACACCGTTGTGGAATCCCTTCATGCATGTGTTTTTTTTTTTTATTAGTAAAATGAAATTTTATTAACTCAAAATGACGGAGTACATTGAGATAGTAAGGATTATGACAAAATTAGGGTTTATTTGCTTGTGTTTTTCAGTCCTTTCGTATTTTCAAAAAAAACTAACGTTCTCATTTTTTGTGCAAAAGTAAATTTAAAAATTCAAAAATAACTTTTTAATGTTTTCTAATAAATGAGTTGTGTGGATAACATTGGTCAAACTTTGGTTCAGAAAGTGTTTTCTGCCTCTCAAAAGTGAAAAATAATTTCTACTAAAATAAATTTGCTTTTCGTTAACTTTCACTTTCTATCTTACCAAATGTCAGAAAATATAGAAAAACATATTTCTTTTTCTTTCTTTTTTTTTTTTTTTTTTTTTATTTTTTTTTTTTTTGATCAGCCGAAAGAAAATTTTATTGATGGATTAAACATATGGAGATACATCAATAAAAGAAGGAAGTGCGAAAAGCATCACAAAATACCAACTCAATCCCAATCAGGTTGACACCGAGAAAGGAACTCAATCATTTGCTAGCACTATCCTGGGGGGTTTGGTGAGAAACCAAAGCCAAAATAGAAACAAGAGGCGTTGCTGATACAAGCCAAATGAGAAACCGATATGCATGGAGCCCTTCCTATCACACCAATTTGGAGAGCCCCAACCACTTCCAAACACCAGCCTGGATCCTCAAGAAGAAAATCTTATCTGATGGAGATTAGAAACAATATCATGAATTGAATAATCTACCTCCATATTCACTTTAGTCCAAAAAGCAATCTGCACCTTCACCTTTGCACATAAAACTTCAAAATTGGTTTGGGCCACCTTGAAGAGACACTCATTTCTCATCTTCCAAACTGACCACAGCATGACTAAAGGAGCTATCTTCCACATTTTGAAAACCCAGCTCTTCAATTTGCCACCTGACCACCAAAGAAGAAGGTCCTCTATTGATCCAGTAATTACCGAGGATTGATCCCACCAACTGACCATTTGTGACCAGAGCCTCCACACCAATGGACAAAACATTAGCACATGGTCCACTGAGCGCAAGGGAGAGGAAAAACATGTTTCTATAGAAACAAACGGAGCGCAAGGGAGAGGAAATGCATTCATATCATTAGTTTTTACTCTACACACACATATATCTATACTATTATATATGTGAGCACATGACTTGGTGTCTAATAGTGTGGTAGCTTCTCCTTCTGCCACGTGGCAAATTTTTCTATCCTAAAATAAAAAAATGTTATTCAAAGGCATGAGTAAGATTTGAACCCAAGACCTTGGGTTTCATTAAGAACACTCTTACCATTTAGACAATATACATATTATAGCATTAATTTCTTTATTATTTGTTTTTATGCTTATTTATCTGAATTGCACATGCATCGCATGTGCCACACCACTAGTGTATATATATATCAACTGATTTAACTGATCACATTGTTGTTTGTCACACAGGAAAAGGCATTGCATGAGCAAAACTACTTACTAGCAAACAAGGTAAAGAGAGCGCTTTCATTATTTGAAGTCACTGCACTGTGTTTCAAACTTGAATAATGTCTTTGATGATCAAAAGAGACTACAATGAATGAACGAATGAAATGTCAATTTATGTCTTGTGATATTGGAAACAGCTCAAGGAAAGTGAGAAGGCAATGGCTGAGCAAGCGCAATGGGAACAACAAACTCAAAATTCATCTGCCTTAACGTTGCCCCAACCACCGCTACCTCCTCCGCCTCCAACATTACATTCTCTAACAATTGGGTATGCTCTCTCTCTCTCTCTCTCTCTCTCTCTGAACACCACATCTTTTTTTTAACAGCAGAAAGAAAATTTCATCAATTCCAAATAAGGAAACAATGAAAGGAGGGGTGAACTTCTTTACAAAATGCGCACACACCTACAGCAAATCCCCACCATTTTTTGTTTAGATTTAGGAATATGATAAAAATAGAGTATAAGAATTCAGATGAAATACTACTCGAGGGTGGCACGTAGTTTAAGGGTGAAATAGTTTAGTGGTTGGAGGTTTAATCTTGTGTAAATTGGTCATCAGAAGAAAGAATATGAGTTTGAGTCTCTAGAATGACACTCAGAGGGCAAGACTCCTGCCCAATAATCTTGGGTCACCAGCTCTTTACTATACTCTCAATGGGATTGGGGCTAAGACTATGGATCAAGCTCAGCTCAAGCGAGCGTTTGCAGATCCCCATTGTGCGGTAGTCATGTGTTGTTGGGCTCACTAAGTCCTTTCTATCATACTTCCCAATGGGTATAGGCTCCTATAGTCACGCTCAGAGATCGTCCCTTTTTTATTGAGCAAAAAAGGAGTATAAGAAGAAATTAAAGACCAAATAAACAAGAATATCCCTAAATGGCTATGTATTCTACCAACATGATCAGCAGCAATTCATTGTAAAAATCAGTAACTTACTAAGATACATAAACTTGATGCTTAATCAAGCAATGAATCACACCAAGTCCTAGTGTACAAGGCCCCAAACTAGTAACTGAAACTGACATACATGCATACAACTATTTTGCAGTGGCACATACCTGCAGGCAAGAGGAGACGATGATGACGACGCTCATGCTCGGCCATCCCCCAATGCGTTGATGCCCCCATGGATGCTCCGCCAGATGAATCATTAAGTATGGAGGTCATCCTTCCCCAGCTAGCAACATCCCTGCAACTCTATATCCATTGCGATATCTTTACTACCAAGATGACTGACATTTTCACTCCCAAGATGACTGAAGACGACTCCATAAGTTGCCAGTTTGATTGTATTGAAATTTGAACTATTTTCAGCATGCAGTTTCTATGGACAGAATTAATTTATGAAGAGGAGACCGGCATTGCGCATCAAGGTGCGCCCACCATGGAATGAGTCCTGCTAAGCTCCTCTGCATCCTCTTAGTAATGCACTAGTTTTGTAAAATCCATCAATGGGCATTTATCTGCACGTGAACTAGGCTAGAATTGACCCTATTTATTAAAACACTTCAATAGTTGCTAGGGGGGAGAGAGAGAGAGAGTACTCTACAAATAAGACACAGACTTTTTGATGTTAAACAATAAAACACATATAGGGCAATGCACCTTCTTCCCACCCCTCCTCCTCTTAGAAACCATGAACCCTAGATGTTCACCAAACAACCAACAGACAAGAATGGCACGGCATGTTAATCATATAGCTTTGCAAGTACTAAATGCTTTATGTAATGAGCAACAACGCTGATCACTTTAGACTACGATATTAATTGTAGTTTTCACCTCCAAGTTTATAGGATTGCAATGAATATATTCACAAATTACAATATGTTCCCCCATCATCAGCGATTCAAAATACAGCAATTCCATGCTTTTAGTCTGATGACGATGAGTAATCAAGAGATGATCAATAAAAACAAATACACAATAGAATGATTGGCAACATCAGGACCACCTCAATTGTTTTGTTAGGTCCTACCATCACCAAGCTCATCATCTTCATCGTTGCAATCACCACAATCCAGCAATTAAAAATAATTCATGCTTGAGGACTTAACTTATCATGTGTAGCAACAGGGAGAATAGGTCACACTATGATGACCAAATATTTAAATCATTAAAAAATGCCCATCACTCGAGTCACGATGTTAGATCCACCGATATGGAATGCTAGGTGAGGGGGATTGAGTATAAACCTAAGTTCTGACACTATTTGCAAAAAATGACTGCTGCCATATTTATACCCTCTATTGCTTTCCCCCCTGAATTTTAACATTTGCCAAGTAGACCATTTCTAGATACCAACAATGTTAGGTGGTCCGAAATTTCGTGGCTCAAATGGCTCGAATGTCTCAAAACGATGTCGTATTGGGTGTAAAACGACGTCGTTTTGGCACATTTGAGCCATTTGGGCCATACAAATTTGGACCATCAAGCATTTTTCTCTAGATACAGTGTACTTCCTTTCGCCTTTAATTGGCTTATTCATTTTTCCAAGAAGATACTACCACAACATTTAAAACTTCAAACCCACAATTCTCAAACTCAAAAATCACATTCATTTTAGGCTATGAACAAGTTGCATGTTGAGCTTTTGGGACAATCTGTAAGCTTTCACCTTTTTGCTCCATACATAAGAAAATATAGACAAGATTTAAAAGGTGATTCATGCTGTATAAAGAGTTTCATTTATAACCCAAGTTTAAAGATTTGAAGTGATGGACCCAACAGTGCAGAAGTTTCTATTTCTTAAAAGCTTCATTCTCAAATCTTTGTTGGAGGTAGGAGTCAAGGTTTAAGAAAAGATGAAAAAGAGAAACCCCTGAATCTTTATTGTCCAGAAAAAGAAAAAAAAAAAAAAAAAAAAAAAAGATTCCCAACTGAAGCCTTACATTACAACAATTGGTTACCTTTACGGTTAAAAACAGAAGCTGCATAGATCATAAAGTTCAAATTTTTATCTTTTTGTTTTCTTTATATCGGTAAGAGCATCTTCAATCCTTCATCCTTCTTTTATGGAAGTGCTCAAAAGCCATCTCCAATTCTTTCATTAAATATTCATTAAATCAAGACAGAGGCCTTTTTTTCATCAAATTGACAACCCGTCAAATTAAAAAAGATGAAACATTAGTCAAAACAGAAATTTGAGATTTGACGAAAAATTTTAAAAAGATTTGAGGAAAATTTGATAAAAGATTGGAATAATTTATATAAAATTAAATTTTTTACTCAAATTAAATGAAAATTTAGTAAAGAGTTAGTGATGGTCTTAACCAATCGCATAGCTAGAAACTACGCAATTCCTGAAACAAAGAGACAATGCAGAGAAGAGCAAATTGGGAATCCAAAAAATAACACAACGAATATCTCCGAAACCAAGAACGGAAACGTAACATACCTCGATCAAGCAAAAGAATCGCAATTTCGCTTTGATTTTCCGAGAAAAATCGAGTGATTGGAATTTGGATCGTGGAGATAGAAAAGGCTGAGAAAATTAAAAATACGTGTGTAAAAAGTCATATTTGTATTTTTCCTCCCCATTAGTTCTTTAAATATCTTATACAACCCCGTTAGTTTTTAAAACTTAAACAACGACCACAATTATTTTTTATTATAACAATTATGTCCTTATCTACCCGCCACCCGTGTGGTTGTTGGAGATATTGACCCAAGGGTAGGCCACCTTTGTGTATACAATAATATACTATACATATGCGTTTAGTTTCTCTACCAAAATTCTCGATTCCCAGAAGTTTCAGGTTAGTTTTCTTTCTTACCAATCAGACTTTGAACCTCTCACTCGTCTTGTTCTTAGCCCTGTTTTTTTTGTTTACTAAAATTCTGAAAAACTTTAGTGAAACTGATAGATGATTGCTATGAATCATCGAATTATTGTTTCTTTCTTGCCAAATTGATGAAACGATGAAAACCCGTCTGCAAATTTTTTTTTTTTTTTTTTTTTTTTTTTTGGATTGTAAGGAACAACATGAATTAACCCTTCAGAAAGTTAAGATTTTTCTGACTCTGCTCCATTTAATGTTGGGTTAGCTTTTTGATTGTCTCTTTAAATTTTGTGAAATTTGTATTTTAACGCTTGACTAAAGTGTCATGGTTTGGATTAGGGTTTTTACATATTTCTCTTAGAAGCTCTCAATTAACAGGACAAAGTCAACATCATTTATTAGGGTTTTTGTAAATCTCAATTGTAAAGCAAGAGGAAGAGTAAACCTTTGATTTAACACATGGAATTTAGTATTGAACTTTTGAATTTGATATGTTCACCATTTATGTCTTTCTTTAGAAGGATAGAACAAATTATTTGAATTGTAGATTAATTTAAAAATGGAAATGGAGATGAATTAGAGCTATGATTGATTGTTACTTTTGAATGTTTGTCAAATAAAGAGTGGTTAAAGAAGTCGTTGAATTTCCATACATTCTACAATAACTTTCAAGGGCCCTTTAATCAATATGTGCTTTGTATTTTTATGATAAGTTGAAGGAGAGCATTACTCGGAACTGAGTTTTCAGCTACACTGCAAATTTAAGAGATGTACAACTTCTTAATGCACATATCTGGATCTGTTGAGGGTGCAAACAGTATCTTCAATAATTTAGCCACCAATACCCGAACCATCAAAGTTTGCTAATGATCTATAATATTGTTGATTGCTGTGTAGCAATTGTCCTCAAGTTTAAATGCATAATGAATAGTAAAAGACTATTCTTATTATGTTGGGTTGGGATGTGAAATCAAGGATTGCAGATACACCACGTGCATGGCTCAAGCAGTAGGTAATAATGCTGAGAAGAAGCTTATTCGGATTGATGTCAGTTCAGACACTGTTTGCCCATGGTGTTTTGTGGGCAAGAGAAATCTGGACAAAGCTGTAGCTTCATCAAAAGATCAATATGATTTTGAGGTTCTCGCTTTCTCTCCCTTCGTTCCAACTTGTTTTTTATTCCAATTTAATATGTGTTCCATTCTGATTTACTGTCAGTCTATTTTACAGATTAGATGGCACCCTTATTTTCTTAATCTTTCTCTCCCTAAAGAAGGCATTTGCAAGAAAAGTTATTACGATCATAGGTTTGGTACCAAACGATTTGAACAAATGTTTGCTCAGATGAAAGAGGTATTTGCTCTTATTCCTTAAATAACTAGTAGAGATATTATTTGTTGTTATTGCCTTTGATGTAGCTGTTATATGATAAGTCAGAATATCTTTGAAATTGTAGATTTTCAAGGGTTTTGGGCTGGAGTACAACATTTCCGGTCTCACGTAAGTTAGTATAGTTATCCGAGGACTAGTTCTTTTAAGAAAGGAAAGCTGAGAAGCATGAACGTGCTTTTATATACTGCTAACAACATGTTTGATATGCAGGGGAAATACTATGGACAGCCACAGGCTTATATATTTTGCTGGCCAACACGGCCTTGATAAGCAGCACAATCTTGTGGATGAGCTGTGCGTTGGCTACTTCACACAGGGAAAGTATATAGGTGACAGGTTAGTGCCGTTCTATCTCAACTTATTGCACTAATAATTCTTTGTCGGTGCTTTATATGGTTAATTTGGTGAACTTTTGAGTTTATGCAAGCATTTCATAGAAATTCATATTTTTCGGGGTAAAAAATAATAATGCACTTGCTTATTAGCTTCATGGACTGACTTTTGTATGTAAGCTAGTTCAGATTGAATGTGCAAGACAAATCGGGCTAGAAGCCATTAACACTGGTAATTTCTACACAGGGAATTTCTCGTGGAATGTGCAAGAAAGGTCGGGGTAGAAGGAGCAGCAGAGTTTCTCGAGGATCCAAATAATGGATTGAAGGAGGTATGTTTATCTTATAAGAGTGTGTGTTCCTTTATGCTCATGTCGATCACTCAGAAGACACGATAAGACATAGATATACCTTCGTAGGGAAACAGAAGTGAATTGTCATGGTGGGTCTTTCAAGATTTCAAATTTTCTTTCCTTATTTCAAGTTGCACTCAAATGGAGCAACCGTATTGAGAAATTTTTATCACAACCCTTCAGCAGCCATAAGATAACAAAACTCATTTTTTCTTTTTCTTTTTTTTTTCCTGTGTCAAAAATATAACGAGTTCCTGTCTAGCGTTCCTGATTGAGCTTTGCTTTGAATGATTGAAGGTTAATGAGGAGGTTGAGGAGTACTCATCGCGCATCACCGGAGTCCCATACTATTTGGTGGGTGATACAAACATAACATATCATAACATGTACTTTATTTTTAACTTTCAATGTGGTTTTATGCATATTAGTGCATTGATCGTGAGCATTCTTTTGACAGATTAATGGGAAGCTGAGGCTTAGCGGTGGCCAACCGCCACTAGTCTTCCTCCAAGCTTTTCAAACCGCTGCAAGTGGTGGCGCCTAGAACTTAACCAAGGTTCATTTAGAGTCATGACTAAAGATGTGTGGTTTTTGGCCATTCCTAAAGAAAAATAAATAAATGGCTTGTTAATAAACATATCTCAATTTGTTGGTCATGTATTGTTTCTATGGATACCTTGAAACTTCCCAAGTAGAAGGATATAAATGTTGTACGGTAAAGCTTGGTTTTGTTAACAAGATATACATTTCATTTGCAGAAACATATAGAGTTCATTGGTGTTGGATTTGAATTATACAGGGCATACTTATTTGGTAGTGCAGGTGAGCACGTTTCTTTTCTTTTTTTTGTTCTGTTTTTTTTCCCTTACAAGATAAATAAGGCTCATGCTTCAATCAAGACTTGAACTCTGAAGCACGCTCTTTGGGGTTGAAAAAAATCAACGCAAGCCAACTACAGCAGTTAATGCAGGAGAGAGGGAGAGAGAGAGAGATCTGTGACCTGTGTCTATGCAATAGGAATGAGTCACAGTATTAGGCAAGAGTCTGATATGCTCCTCATATATAACCCCATATTTGACCAAATGATTCAACCAAATAGATCATTACACTATGGTTGCAAATGACCATAAAATAATTTTTAATTTTTAATGTTAGGAACGCCAGTGATGGGTAGTGTTTTAAAAAGCTCTAGGCGCATTAGGGCGACAAGGTCACTTGGAGCCGAGGCGCGAGGCGAGGCGTGCGCCTCACCAAAGCGAGGCGCAAGTTATAGAAGTTAAGCAAAATATCAATATAGCACAATATATAGCACAATTTTCAACATAAGCAAAAATTTATAGAATTCCAAAATGAACAAAACAATATTCAACATTCCAAAAACCATGGAAGGAACATCAAACAACAAACATAAGAACTTAATAATCCACAAAGTTGAAAACAACTAAACATCTAGTGACTAGTCCCATGGATGCATTGACTAAGAACTTAATAACAAGCGTCATCTCCATCATCTCCTTCGTCATCATTGGATTTATATCCCTCCACATCCTTCTCTTCTTCCTCATCTGAATCTACATCTTCCCATTCCTCTTCCTCATCTACAAGTCGATGTGAGCTTGAACCAATTGGAGTTGTCCTAGTTGTGGTTGATCTAGTTCTTTGGCTACTTTCCTCAACTCCAACAGCTACAGCAACATCATCCCACCCCAAAAAATCATCATCATCATCAATCACAAGCTCATTCTCCATTCTCCCAATCAGCCATTCATTGCTTTCATCAATATCTTTCAAAGAGATAGGATCAAATTTGCCACGTGAAATGTATCGACGTTTCAATGCTCTATTATACTTGGTAAACACCAAATCATTCAGACGTTTTTGAGCTAGCCTATTTCTTTTTTTGTTGTGAAGCTGCAACAATAAATAAAAAAACATTTAAATTCATATATAACTAAAAAAATTTGGAAGAAAATTTTAGAGTTCTCCAAATTTGACAACGGATACTCACATGTTCAAACACACTCCAATTCCACTCATAACCAGATGAACTACAAGTAAGACTAAAAACTTTGATGGCAAATTGTTGCAACTCAGGAGCATCATGACCATAAGAACTTCACCAATCAACTGTAAATGATTATTGGTTAACACTTCACAAATAATTAAACTATAAGGAATTGACTACTAACTTAATTTTGTGGATGAACATAGATCACCTGGTACCCTTATAGTTCTTTGTCTAATTGCCATAGGTATTCCAAGAAGTCCTTCAGCATTTTCATATTTTTTCAAGTCTGTAGTAACTTTATCTTGGACCTCTAATGTTGGAATCAACCTTGATATACATTGATATAGGCCTGATATGATTTCTTTGTCCTTTACAGCCCTAGGATCTTTGTAAAAAAATTCTGGATTTAAATAAAACCCAGCTGCATGTAAAGGGCGATACAATTGAACATTCCACCTTTGGTCAATGATTTGAAACACATCTTTGTACTTCTCTTCATTTCCATTGAAGCTATTTGCAATAGCTTCCTTAGCCCTATCCATAGCCTCATAAATGTAACCCATTGGAGGCTTTTCTTTACCATCAACCTTTCTTAGTACATGAACAAGAGGACATGAAAATTGGAGGGCAAGGTGACAATGGTTCCAAAATTAAGGCATTAGTAGTATTTGAGCTGTCTTCTTACCCTGTGCTCCTTCGCCTATTTGCTTTTGGTCCACTCCTCTGAAATGAACATCTTCCTCAAATTGTTCCTTTGTTGATAAACCCTTTGTAAAGTTAAGAAAGCCGTTGCAAACCTAGTTTTGGCAGGCTTAACTAACTCCTTCAACTGAGTAAAACGCCTCATCATATTCAACAAAGATGGTCGGTTATAAATGTAACCATGTATCCCAATTGCCCTTTCAAATGTCTTTTTAAAATTGGGTAATTTGAAGATATCTTCCTACATCAAATCCAAACAATGGGCTGCACAAGGCGTCCAATACAAGTGAGGTCTCTTTGCCTCCAAAAACTTCCCTATTAGAAGTAATAACCAAAACCCAAAACTAATGATATGAAACAAAATGATTTATGTTGCAAACTATTAACATAATAAGATTTTTACCTGCCAACACATTTGCTGTCGTACTATCCGTGACGACTTGGATCACATTAGCTTCTCCAATTTTCTCCACAAACTTATCAAGAAAATTAAACATCTTATTCCCATCCTTTGAGTAACTAGATGCATCAATGGATTCAATAAACATGGTGCCTCTTGGACAATTCACTAAGAAATTAAGCAAAGTCATATTTCTCTTATCTGTCCAACCATCGCACATTATAGAACATCCATACTTTGGCCAATCGTCTTTATGTTCCTTCATCAATCTGTTAACACCCACTTCTTTTTTAAGGTAAGGAACTCGTATCATGTGGTAAGTTGGTGGTTTCAAATCAGGACCAAATTGCCCAATAGCTTCAATCATTGGCCCAAAACTGTCATAATTCACTGCATTGAAAGGAATCCCAGAGTCATACATCCATCTTGCAATTCTAACATATGCCCGTTGCATTAACTCTTTCCTATAGGGATCATTTTCATCAATTTTACTTTGCTTCCCCTTGCCTTTTTGTTTTTGCGCCACCACATCTGGATCAGGTGTGAAGAAACAATCCATAGGCCCTATCTTCCTAGGCCTTTTAAGTTTGGATTGAACAGAACCAGAGCTGGTTCTTTGAGTAGAACCTTGAGTAAGAATGGACTTTTTACCATGCTGAGAGAGTTCTACAAGATCATCCTCATCATCAAAATCTTATTCATCAACCATATCATCAAAATCAGGCATCAAGTTGATTTGCTCCTTAACTTGCTTTTTTTTAGCCATAAACTCAGAAATCTCATCTCTAACCTCAGTTGGGCATCTAACACATTTAGTCACATTCCTATACCCTCCAACAAGATGTTGCTTAACTCGACAAACACCCCCATTCATCTCTTTCCCACAAAAATTGCATTTGAACTTACTTAAGTTTCTGGGATTTACCATCGTTGAACACTTCCATGCTGGATCTTTCCTTCCACTTTCAGCACTCGACATTTGACTCATCAAGTTACTGGTTGTTCCTTTTTTTTTTTCTTTTTTTTCTTTTTTTTACAGGACAAGAAAAGGCAAGAAAAAACATAGAGACTAGAGAAAAGAAGAATGAAAAAATGAAGAATAAAGAATAAAGAATAAAAAAAAAATTGAATTAGATACCAGTGAAGAGGAGAAGACAGAAGAAAGAAGATGAGAAGAAAGAAGATAAGAAGAAAAAATGAAAAACAGAGAAGAAGAAGGAACGAAAAACAGAGAGAAGAGATGAGAGAAGAAAAATGAAAAATAGAGACGAAGAAGAAAAAGAAGAGAAGAGAGAAGAATAAACGAAAGAGATGAGCCTGAGTCGGAGACGAACCTGAGTCTATGTCAAACCTGAAGCTGAAGCTCACGTCGATATTGAACCTAAGTCGACGTTGAACCTGAAGCTCATGTCGAAACAAAATTCACGTCGATGTCGAACCTGAAGCTCACGTCTTTGTCGATTCGAAATTTTGATCGCAACACTTCATCAAATCGAAATTTTGGTCGTAACAAATTTAGGGCTTTGTCGATTCAAAGCGGCTCACCAACAGATTTGTATAAGAGTTTTAATCCTATGTGGCTAGTACACAAATAGCTCAGTCCTAACCGAAGCGCATGAAGCGTGCGCTTCGAGCCTCAGAGAAAGGCGCGCGCCTCAGCGCTTTACGTGTGCTTCTCGCAATGCGCCTCGCTTCATCTGCTTGGAGCCCTAGCCCTGCGCCTCGCCTCGCTTAGCGCCTAGGCGTGCGCCTAGGTGCGCTTTTTAAAACACTAGGTTACTCGATAGGCCCACAAACTCTCCCAAGCAGGGGTAGAGCCAAAGAAGGCTCAGAGGGGTCACGTGCACCCTTTAATTTTGATTTTTTTTATTTTTTTATTTTGTGATCATATATAAAATGTATTTTTTTTTTTCTTAGCATATTTTTTGGCTAAAGATTTATTGTATTGTTTATAATAAGTAGTTAGTTGATACTTTGGAAACACTATGTGATGTTGTTTATATAGTAGTCTATACCAATAATGTATTGAAAAATCTTATAGATTGAATATAATTAACTCATTATTTTTAGATAGTTGACAAACTACTTAGTGTGATTTATGATTTCTTATGTTTTGAGCGTCACATAAACAACGCCATATGGTACTCTAAGATAATTTCCATTCAAAACACATCATTTATAAACAATATCATCTCTTTAATATTTTCTATCAAATAAAAATTAAATAGATTTTATAATAATTTGTGCTATAAATGATGTTTTTTTATTTTCTAAAATTGAGAATTTTGATCCATAATTTTGTGTTAAAATTACAAACTTACATCACTATCACGCACCAAGCTATTACACACTATTATAGGATTTTGATTTGTTACTATTAATTATGATTTTTAATTTCTTAATGTTGATCATGATTTTTTTTTTAAATAAAAAATTATAATTAATAAATGTCCCCTCTAACTTAATTTCCTGGCTCTAACTTAATTTCCTTAATTTCCTGGCTCTGCCACTGCTCCCAACCCTTTTATTTTTCCAAAATATATATATATATATATATATATGTGTACATGAGCATAAATCAGAAGTAAACCATGTTGTATCAGACCAAAAGGAGAGATCTCTACCAACCAACCTAATCTGTAGTTATAAACCTCTGCTTCAGTCAAGGAAAACAAGAATCTTATTTATCAATATCATTTGTCAGTCATGTACAATTCACATACAACAGGAATCAGAAACCACCAGTGCATAACAAACATCATTTCACCACACTGGCACATCTAGGAACACCATTTTCTCTCTTTTCGTTTTTAGATGTTTCCACTTTCACTGATTGAAGGGAACAGCACCCAGAAAAGAAAAAAGGGAAGAGAAAAAGAAAACCGGGAAAAAAAAGAAGTATTGAAATAAAGTCAGGCTTGAACAATATTTTACATTCACTTCATATATAGGGCAAACACATGGTATTCACAAGGTCCATACGATATCTGCTTCTGATTTTCTTTTCTCCTCTCTTCCCATTTGTTGCTGATTTCCTCCTCTTCTCTGGTAAGTTGTTGGTTTCATCTACGACATGAAATTTAAGTAACGTCATGTCGTTTCATCAAATACCATCACCTAGAAAAGCCAACAAAAGGAAATCATACTCAAAGTTAATTGAATTATCTGATAGCAAGATATTTATTATTAACATTACAAGCCCAAACAAACTTCATCAAGCCACCAAGAGGACAAGATTTTCAACGCTAAGTGCAATGGGTAAAGCAAAAATTGGATTCCCATCTCAATTCCTGCATATCAAGACAGCAGGATGTTTTCAACGAAATGTATTCCGAGTCCTACTATTCTACATTGTATCACAAGTAACAGAAATGTGAGATCCAAAATAGTAGCTTCCATCAGTTCAAAAACTCTTTATAGCTTACCCCACAAATGTCAACAATAGAAATGGATTGTCGAATCAGTTCATCGCATATTACCCCAATTAAATATTTCAATGTTAAAGTTACATGTCTCCAGATCAAATTCCATTCACTTTCTTCTCGGGTTGATCTTCTCACCATACAACATTTAGCAATATTGATGTTATCGGCCAGTTAATTTCTTCCTTTCTTCATCAATAAATTTTTCTAGTTTGTTATAGAAAATTAACAAACAAGCCACTTGATGAACCATGCAATGCCCAGGGTACAAGAACAAAAATGGCTTACGATGAGAATGAGAAATTTGATTTGTGTTTTACCAGATCTCCTCCATCTTTCAAAAACAATATGAATTCCAAGCAAAAGAAGGTCAAGAAACAGCTTTGTCACCATAACTATTAGGCTTCTCTGAGTTTCCTCTTACAGTAGCACCATACAAATTCACCACTGCACCACGGAGTTCAAGCAACAACAATGGGTTTTCATGACAAAAATATAACTAACATAAGCCACGCACTTCAATTGGGGGACTAAGTTGTTTGTATGATCAAAAGAGATGCATGGAAATAAGAATATACAAGCTATCATTACCGCCTATGCTCTAGTTTTTACAGACAAACCAAATGTATCTCATCCTAATTCTAATCTTCTCCATCCAAAAGGCACATTAAATTATCACAAGGAAAAGAAAGGACACAGTTTTTATGCTAATAGCATCTCCCAGTGTTCTTTAACACAAACAAAAACAAAAACTAAAAAATAAAACAAGTTATTTCAGGGAGAGAAAAAAAGTCTTAATACTAAATATTTATATATATAAAGATGAATTGTATTTTGCCAACGAATAAATACGACTTAAAAGATGAGTATTACCTTGCCACAAACTGGACAGCTGTCACTTCTCTCCATCCACTCGTATATACAACCCAGATGGAAATGATGAGAGCATTTTGTAATTATCTTGGGGTTTTCTGGAGTATATTCTGCATATAGAATGGGGAAAAGAAAAAAAACTGTTAGAATTGCTATATTGAAAACATACCATTCTGTTTTACAGCAACATTTACCTATTGGAACCCAACAAGCATAAACAACAGCAATCAATAAAAGATAAAGAAAGGCTGCTCTTAACTTCCAGTTCAGTTCAAAAGTCCCTGCCACCTAGAAATGGAAGTAGCTTTTAACCTAAGCCTTGTCCCAATGAGATGGGATCAGCTACATGAATCATTTTCTGTCATTCTGATCTATCAATAGTTAAATTAAACAAATTTGTATCTTCTTTACTACCACATCTCATGTCAGTTTAAGTCTTCCCTTCCTTTTACATTTCCATTTATAATGATCATATCACTTGTTCTTATCGTTGCATCTATAAGTCTTCGTTATACATGACCAATTGAACTTAGATGGTTCTACTACCATTTCATAAATATTAAACACTAGTTATGTCTTTCCTAATCTTACTACACATCCATCTAAGCATCCTCATTTCAGCTACACTCATTTTACGAATATGTTATTTCTTAGTTACCCAACATTATGTGCCCCATAACATATCATTGTTCTTGTAGTTGTTCTCTAAAAATTTTCTTCCAATTTTGTTGGTATCCAATGATAACAAAATATGCCAAAAGCATTCCACTTGATTTGTAGTCAGGTTGTTTTGTTCCTGATTTTGGGTGAAGAGTGGCAAACCATAATGACAGATTTAGTTCACATTGACGGTGCTCTAACCCTTCTTCATCAAGAAAATGCAAAAGCTTCACCTCTTTATCATTTTGAGGGCAATTTCAAAACACAAAGATGTGCACCTTTGTTTTTTTTATTACCCAGTAATGTTTTCTCATTTTATAGTTATCAGTAACAATTTTATTTTATTTTTATTTTATTTTTTTAAAAAACATGCAGCAAAGTACACCAGAAAAATTCATCAAATGCAGACGCCACCAGCTAAAATTAATTGTCACAATATTTTTTAAATCCAAAACAAATGACCAGCTAGTCCATTAATTAGAAAAAAAACACCCTCAAAATACTAGCAAATAAGCAAAAGTGAGTGAACATACCCCTCATGCTAAGAGCATTAACTCTTACAACAATGAGCATCAAAATATTCAAAAATCCCAAAGAAATGTGGTGTAGGCCCTAGTACACAACTAAAATTATGATGAAATTAAAAGAAAAGGAAAACATCTTTTAAAAGTTCTGGAACCTAAAAATGCATAATATGGTCATGATGTTGCACAATTTAGAGCCCCTAAAGTACACAGGTAAGTTTTAAAGGTCACATTGGGGAGCTTCTCTTTCCCCACACAACTTTTTCTCAGTTAACACACCATTTTTCGATTGGAAGTTGATTTCCGAGTCATGTAGAAATCAACTTTTAAACCAAAGATATAGCAAAATCATTAAATTTCATTTGGAAGTTGATTTAGGAACCATATAGTTTTGTTCATAAGTGGATATTCGAACCCCAAAAAATGTGTGAACTAAGATAATGTGATGTATGGAAATAGAAGCTCCAGTCAAATTGGTCTCTAGAACATGTAACTGCCAATAAGAATCCAAAATGCTAACAAAAGCTAGAAAGAGGTGTGCCATAGATTTAGCTTAGCTACAAGGTACACAACATAACTAAAAAACAATATTGACTTATTTCACCTTCAAGACATGTTGGGCAGACATCTTCATCTTCAGAAGAAAAATAAATATGTGCAAATTCAGTTCCCGTTTTTGCTGATGAGATCTTCAGTGAAGACCTGGTATGGTATTCTTTTGATCCTTCACATGTAGACTCATTCCATTTGTCTACAGTATTCAAAGATTCTGAATCTGCATCAGTACAACTTCTTAGTGGTTCAGTTTCCTCGAGTGAATGACTTGAGCTTTTATCCCGTCTCGAGACCAGTCCATCCCGTTGCATGCGGAAACATCGGGGATCAGCATCATAAGGCAAGGGCCTCGGAGGAGAACGGTACATATCAGAAAGAGAGTTGTCAAGTGATGCTGTAGAAGTCAAAGAAGCAGTCTCCTGAATGGTTGAAGGAATGGCGTGTGCTTCTCCTCTTTGAAATAATGATGTATACTATGCAAGAAAAAGAAAAAGGAAAAGAAGAAAGTAGCAATTTCAATCTAGAGAATGCAAAAGTTAACTTTCATCACTAAGTTTATAGTTCCCTTGTACAATTATTTAATGCTAGCCCATTGCAACTCAATTGGCTCATTTGACCAAATACATATTACTGCAACTAACTGGCGCATCAAATTGTATTTTTTGATCTACAAACTACAACTAACATATTCTGATAGTGATAGAAAATTCTTCATGTTGTAATTCTAGATCTACAAAATACAACTAACACATTCTGATAGTGACAGAAATTTCCTACTACGAGGAGTTACTGGATTAGAGAATTTAACCAACCACCAAGATTTCTAGGGTAGTCCAATTATCATATCCAGGTGACAATGTTAGGCCTGGACTATAAAAATAATTCTCACGTGAATACTCTAATTAGTTAGTTTTCACAAATTTAGCTGGGCAATGCAAAGAAAACCAAGCATAATGAGAAGATAAAGAAAAGGAAACAATTGTTTCTGTTTCTTTTTTTGTTTTTTCTCCTTTTTTTTATGGTTCTCATCAACAACTAAGGCCTCGTTTGGCAAGAGGCTATTTTAGCCAATTAACCAAAAAGTTACTAAATTAGTCAAAAAGCCAACAACTCATACCAAAAAGTCAAAGATTCTCTTTTCTCTCTACTTTTTGCACATCTTTTCGTAATTAGTCAAAAAGTCATCCCAAACATACAAGTTTTTTTTATCTACCTTTTTAGCCAAATAGCCAAAAAGTTACTAAATTAGCCTGTTTCCAAACGAGGCCTAAGTCAAACTGAAATGTGAAATATCCCCAACTTCATGACACCCTGAGAACCAATTCCAAACAAGTTCTCATTTTAACCAAACAACTAGAAGAAATTTTCCAATAAAAAGTTTAAAACCCTTTACTCAATAGTCAATCCCTGAATATGGCAGCAAAGTTAAAAGCACTACCGTCACAACCACCTGTTCCATTTGTAACCTCCTGTTGTATTTGTGCATCATTCCTTTTCTCTCCTTTCCTTTCGCCAAGAATAAAAATGATCATATGATACCTTCTTCAGACAATTGACAAATGTTCAACTCCCAACATCCATCAAAATCTAGAGTACTCTGCTTCCAAGTATCAATATCTAGGAGATTACTTTAGTTAAATTCTATTTTAGAAGTCAGAGTTTTTCTCCTTCTTCCAGACAAAAGGTGGACAATGGAAGGATGAAAAAGATTCGGGGCTACCAAAGTGAAACCAGTATTATGAAGCAACACAGTCTGAATAAAATAGTACGTGCTTGGAATACATAATTTGAATTAGGGCATGCTTAAATAAAAAAGCAAAATGAAACATGAGAAACTAAGCAACAACGAGAGCTCTAAAACATACCGCGTGCAAAACATTCTGAACAAAGCAACGAAGGCATATACAGTTTCTAGAAACTGAACTGTTCGGATTAACATAATCTTCGCAATCCTCGCGCAAACAACAGCAGACAGCACCCATATCACCAGTGTCAACCTATCTTAATAGAATAAAACCCTCCACCTAGTGCTCCAAGCTCATCAACAAAGCCCAACTCTGATAAGCATTTACATCAAGAAAACAACCCTTGTGGCAATAATAACAAGATAAGGAAGGATGATGAGAGAGGACACCAAGCTCGTGAAGTTACACTGACTCCCCGAACCAGTTCCCTCTCTCTTCTAGAAACAAAACCCAAATGCCTTCTTAATACAAGAATGCAAATAACAGACCTCCCTATTCCTTCACCTGTAAAATATGAGAAACATTTATCAAAATAAAAGGCATTAAATAGAGCCAACCGTGTCACCGCCCATCAAGCAATAAAATGAAATTTGAAGCAAAAACTCTACATAGATAATGCAAACAAGCCATCAATCCAGTAATCAGATCTCACCCTTCTTGAGGTAATTCAAAACCCAAAATTTTAGAGCAAATCTTTTTGGGAAATCAAACTTATCATAATCAACCCAAAACATTCTAAAAAGCTTCCAAATTTCAATATTCATAAAAGGGGATACCTTCCTCCGACAATTAAGCAAATTGTCCACACCCAGATATTTACATCATAAATGGGATAACTCATCGAATAATTTATTAAAATCCTTTAAACAAGCATCCAATAAAAAATTCAGCAAAACCCAAATCAGATTCCCAAAATTGGAATTGAAACAAGAACGATCTGCAAAAAAGGATCTAAACCCAGAAATACAAATTGATCGGTCAAAACAAAAGAGACCCATTACAGATTATGCGTTTCAAAAGAGATCGGAACCTTTGAACGAGTATTCTAAAGAACAAATCAAAATCACGCGGAGAAAAGAGACAGGGAGGGATAAATTGGTGTAATAATGGGTAAGGGAGGTACCTTGAGAGTTGAAAGGTGTAGTGAGAGAGAGAGAGAGAGATGATTGGATTGCGGAGAAGAAGATAGACAGGTTGTTGGATTTTCAGGCGAAAAAAACTATGCGAACCCGGAATTAGAGCGATGGTGTGAGTGGTAGGACAATCTGTTACTTATGTAAGAACAATATTTATAATCTCCCATCAAAATAAATAAATAACAAAAGTAAAAAAAAAAATAATAATAAGGGTAAATTACTATGACACTCTCATGTTTCTGTTTAATATGGTTTTTTCTCATGTCTGAAAATTTACATCTTTCTCTTTGAAATTTGTAATTTTATTATAAATTATTCTTAAATTATTGATGTCATATTTTAAAATTTTTTAAATGATCATTTTGTCTTTTTTCTTACTATTTCTTCTTCCTATTATCATGAATATTTCTATAACTTTTCATCATTAAACTCTACCTGAACATATTATTATTAAGTGATGATATATAAATATAAATTTTATATAAAGTTTTCAAACACAATGATATAACTTAATGGTGATTTTTCACTTTAAAACAAAATATTCATAAACATAATTTATATTTATAGCAATATTACTATCACAACATTTTTATGATATTTTTTTATATTGAGTATAAATTTTTATATGTAAATAGAATTTTTTTTTTTTTATTTCCATCATCATATTTCTTTCTCATCTTTTCGTCTGTATTTATTACAGTATTACCAAACACCGTCATTCACATTTATTATAATATTATTGACTTTTAAATTTTTTTTTTTTTTTTGTATTAGGTGAATTTTTAAAAAAAAATCACAAAATATTATACTTCTTAAATATATAGATTATGTGTATCTAAAAAATTACATAAAATATTAAAAAATAAAAAATAAAAACATGAAAAAATAAAATAATTCACTTTTTTTGTTTGTGAGTTAAATCAAATAATATGTTTGTTATTTCTCTTGAAATGACATAAATAAAATATTAATATTATTTCATTATTTTATATTAATAAAGACTATATAGTAAATATGTCATTTTATTTTAGCATGGGATAAATGTAATTTTTCAAATATAAAAAAAGATATATATTAAATATAAATCTTAATGGGTGTCAGTATAATTTACCGTAAAAACAAATAAAATTTGACCTTGACTATCTTGAAGTTTAGAAAAAGGAAGAGACTGGTCTCCTTCCACTAAAGCCCCTTTTGGAAATATATTTCTTTTTAATAATTTTTTGATATTTTATAAAAATATGTGAAAAAAAAATGATATAATAACTTATAATAACCTTTTTTTGACTAAAATGTTTAATCTGCAAATGAGCCCCCTAAATAATGGACTAGTTTTAATTATCTAAACAGTTTATTTTATTATAATTTATGTGTAATTTATTTATTTAAAAGAAATTATATTTTTTTGATATTCATAAGTATATTTTTTAAAATTATAGTTATTATTTTTTTAAATACAAATATAATAAAACTATATAACTAAGCTGATCAATATTTTTTTTAATAAATGATCTATATATAAAATTTAACAAAATAAATTATTTAAATTATCAAAATAAAACTCATGACAAGTCCATAAGGCCCAAAATGCCTCTTTCTAGGGAAAAAAATATATATATTAATAGATTTCAATAGTTTAATATAATTATATCAACTCATATTTTTAATAAGGTCAATTACTTATGCAAAATAGTTTTTTTAATATAGGAATAAATAAATGTAAAAGTAAGAGATGTGATAATATTATTTTTTTTATTTACGTAATCAATAAATAATTGATAAAAAATAGAAAATGTTATATAAATTAAAAAGTATAATTGTGAAACTTGTAAGACAAAAAATATTTGAAATCGATATTCTAAAAAAAATAATAAACAAGACAATTTTTATTTTATACTCTTAAAAAAATTCAAATTTTTATTTGCTCACTCATTTATTAATTACAATAATTTTAATTTTGTATTTTTAAGCTGGACTTTTAAATTTTTTTTGGTTGAGTGAATGACTTAGGCTTTGTTTGGTTATGGTTTTTTGACTAAAAAAATACAAAAGACAAAATAAGCTAAATGAGTCAATAAGACAAAATGTCACATTTAAATTATAATCATTTTACTTTTTTCTCTGTAAAAAAAAAAAAAAACCAAACTAAGCAATCTTTTAATTCTAAACTAAAGAAATCAAAAAATCAATTGCCAAACTACGACTTATTCTAAGCACTGAAGGAAAGGAAAAGAGGACTATCCCCTACAGTCCCTTGTGACACTTGAACTTACAACCTCTATTATGAAAATTGGAGAGTACATCATTATAACTTAAGGTCATGAGTTATTTTTAAGCAAGTTTTAAAAACAACATAAAGTTGACAGAAATTAACATAGAGTTAAAATTAAGAACTAACATATTTTTAGAACTAAAATATTGAAGAGTTGAATTGTTAAATATGGTTGGAGAAGCCTAGACCATGATAGAGTATTTGAAAATAATATTATAATGATTAAATTCTCTATCAAATTTATGACCATATAATGTGATAATTTACTTATGATTTAGGAAAAATTACACGATATTTTTTATGGTTTGAAAAAAATATAGGTGGTTCCACAGTTTTAAAATAATTACATTGACCTTACTTTTAGTAATATTAAATATATCAAAATTAATGTAACTTGTGTGAATATACAAATATAAATAAGATAAAATATAAATCAAAATTAATGTAACTTGTGTGAATATACAAATATAAATAAGATAAAATATAAATTTTAGTGTAAAAAAACATAACAATATTATTTTTTATTCATATAACTAATAAATTTATGATAAAAAATGAGATAATTATTATGTGAATTAAAACTTTATGAGTGCTTAATGTAATTAAACTAAATTTATGAAATTTATTGTATTTTTTTGAAGAAGGTAATTTACCCTATTATTTATTTATGTATTGGTACAATTATTCATCAATTAGTATAATTATAACATATTAAATTTAAATAAATTTAATATAAAAAATTAAGTTATCATTAACATGGAGATGGACCATGGGCCCCAAGGAGACGCGTGGTCTAACTGACCCGAACCACACGCAAAGGCACCACAATATAATTTTATAAATACATAAAATATTTTACCTATTTAAAAAAAAATACATAAAATATTTTAAAAAGTCAATCCTACTAATAATTTTTAAAAATTTAAATTTATTTTTGATTTTTTTGTTTATCTTTTAAATGTACTTAACATACAAAAAATAAAAATAAAGTCTTTTACTATATATGTATATTATGAATTTTTTTATAAGTATTAATAAATTTTAAGTGTATTATGTCCATAAGTATTAATAAATTTTAAGTGTATTATGTCCATCTAAAAAATAAAAAAAAATAATTTAAAATATAAAAAGATCACCAAATCCAAAAAATATCAAAAACTAAAAATTGTAAAACAATGTTACTTGTTTGGTTTTTAAACTCCTTTTCTTTTTCTTTTTTTTTTTTAGCCAATTATTTTTCTTCGTATTTTAGTTATTTAAAAAAAAATATGCGCGTAAAATTGGAAAATAATTGAACAAAATTGTCCATAAAATCAGTTAAGACAAAAGATTAAAAATTCCATATATATTTTTTATGGGTTAACTAGTAAAAAAAAAATCCATTCTCATGAGGCCACATGTTATTTAGTAAAATATTTAATATTTATTTATTTATTATAAGGATATGTATTGAAAGGTCTCCGTAAAAGTCATCAACATTAAAAAGGTTACCAAAAAATTGGCTAAAAAAGTTGGCGACATAAATAGTTGGTTTTAATGAGATGGACATATGAGTGATATTGAACAAATATATAAGATTTAAACAAATGGTTGGATAAATAAGAGACACATGTACAACTATCTCGCATTTTGAATATATAGGTGATACTTGAACAAATAGAATAATAGATAAATTTTGAACCAATATGTATTATTTTGAACAAATAATATAATGGGATTTTTTTTTTAGGGTTCCTATTATTAAGATTTTATAATATAAAGGACATTCAATATTTTCATAATGTCTAAAATCTCTCACACATCGATCCAGAGATATTTCAATCTAGAAAATTTATCTGGTTTGCACAAATTTTTTTGGTTTGCAAATTTCTCTAGTTTTCTATGGACTTCTTAGATAAATTCTCTCAAAGACAGAGGAATTTTTTCTGTATTTTGAACAAATCAAATAAAATTTGGTTATTTATAAACCAAAAACAATCACAAAATTTATCTATGTTTTGAACAAACCAAATAAAATTTGACTACTTAGAAACCAAAAACAATCACGTGTAATTGTTTTGAACAAACCAGAAAAAATTGGCCTACTTAGAAACCAAAAACAGCCACAATTTTTTTTTTTTTGTGTTTTGAACAAACCAAATAAAATTGAGCTATTAAAAAACCAAAAAAAAAAAAAAACACAATTTTCTTTGTGTTTTGAACAAACCAGAGAAAATTGTATTTTTTTCTCTATGATTTTTTTTTAAGAAGCATTTTACCAAACAGGTTAGCTTTAAAGCTCACACGTATATGTTTTACAGTACTAAAAAGAGTTTTGTCAAATCAAATCTCGTAATTATGTATTTTGAAGTTCTAAGAAACATTTTTTCAAACAGTTTAGCTTCATACTATATATATAGATGTTTGTATGTGTATGAGTTGTCTGATAGAGAAAGAGGCCTTATTTCAAGACTAGTAAAGAACGGGGCCGGAGGAGAAAGAACTAAGAGAAGTTTACTAGGGCTTTCAAACATGAAAGTAACAGTATCACTTCCATTATCGACCTTGATGGTGATGGTATCGTTGTTCTTTCCGACCATTGGGTTGTCTTCTCGTCACAGTATACTTCGATTCCGACACGGTGAAATCGTCAATGGATAAGGATGCTTTGAGCTTTGCTTGGCAGATGAGAGAGAGTTGGAGAAGACGACGACGACGATGAACTCTGGCGATGGAGGTGAAGTTCGTCGAAGAGAGAGTTGGAGAAGACGACGACAACGATGAACTCTGGCGATGGAGGTGAAGTTCGTCGGAGAGAGAAAAGCAGAGAGAAAAAAAGAAATGGAGAGGCAATTTGATTTGAGAGAGTCAAATTTCTCTATGATATATAAGTGTCGGGGGTTGAGGATTTTAGACATCACAAAATAATATTGTGGATCTTTTCTATTACTAAAAATGGGATAGGAACCTTAGACTAAGTTTCCCTAATATAATTTTAGGCTAAGATTTTAAAAACAGACTTTTGATCTAAGTGTAATTTTGTTAATGAATTTTCTAGTTTTTCATAAAAATTTGACATGTTAATCTAAAAAAAAAAAAAATTAAAATGTTTCTCTTATCTCCAGTCCACTTTGTAGATTGGACGATGGTATTGGGCTCATGGAACCCACCACACACTTTGTAGATTGGACGATGGTATTGGGCTCATGGAACCCACCACATATTTTATTTCGATAATCCAAACCATTTAATGTGTAGAGTTTGTCGAGTACTTTATCATGTTGATTGGATATTAATAGCTACTTGATCGATCAGATTTTTATCAATAATTTATTTTTAAAATTTTATTTACCGTGGACAGAAATCTGATCAGATCAAATAGTTATCGATATTCGATCAATGTGATTTTTTTTACAAAGATAAAATATTCGACGAGCTATATATATTGAACAGTTCATATCATCAAAATAGAACCCGTCGTCAACCTCCATAGACCCAACAGAATGTTTTAATCTGATCTCGAACTGGATCAATTTTAAAAAGTTACAATTTTGAGTAAAAGGAAACTATATTTCAAAAAAACACAATTATCTTCGTTTATTTTTTTTTACACGTTATTTTGTTAAAAAAAAAAAAAAATTGAAAAACAAAACCAAAGAGATAATAATGGCATCAAATCAACTATCTAGTGGGCGGCGTGCGGGACCTCCCATTTGAACCTGCCACCCAGCCGGACCCATTCTGGTTCCAACTTTCTATTCACTCTCTATCTACGGAAACACAGACACAAACACACACGGCTATACTACTGTTTTTTTTACTCATCTCCTTCTTTCTTCGCCGGCCAAGCACACAAATTCTTAGATCTACTCATCTCTTTCTCTCTAGGGTTTCAACTTTAAGTTATTTCTTCTCTCCATGTATTTGGATTCCCGAATTAGGGTTTCGAATTCGAGTTCAACGAACAACTAGTTCGAATCGAAATCTATTTACATTTTCTAAACCCTAGGTCTGCGACCGACCAATGCAAAACTCAACGAGCTCGGAGGCAATTCTGGAATGGCTGCAGAAAGAAATGGGGTATCGACCTCTCGGCCACTACGTTGCTTCCAACAAGGCGGCGTCACAACCGTCGATCGATTCAATTCGAAAGGTTTGCCGTGGGAATATGATCCCGGTGTGGAACTTCTTGGTGAAGAGAGTGAAATCGGACAAGACGGTGGAGAATCTCCGGCGGAACATACTTGTTTTTCATGATGGTGATGACGGTGGTGGTGGCGGTGGTGCTGGGGCGGATTCGTTGAAAGGTGGAGAGGCGGGGAGGAGGGGTAGAGGGAGGAGGAAAGAGAGTTTGAGAGAGAGTTCAGTGGAAAGTAGTAGAGAAATTGCGTTGCAGGAGAGGGATTTGGCGAAGAAGGAGGCGGAGAGGTTGAGGCATATTGTGAGGCGGCAGCGAAAGGAGTTGAAGGTGCGAATGTCGGAGGTTTCACGGGAAGAGGCAGAGCGGAAGCGTATGCTTGATGAGAGGTCAAATTACAGGTCGGATTTCTGAAATCGAACTCAATGTGTTATATTTTTCATTCTGGGTTGATAATTTGTAAATGCGGCAATAGCATCATTGGAAATTTAATGGCTTTTTGTTGTGTTAACTTTTTTTCTATGACAATTGAGATGAGCTAGTTGCCAATTTATTGTTTGTTTGGAATCAGGAACTTGAATTTTGGATGGTAAGAACACATGACTAATTGTTTAGAGAGTAAAATTAAATTGTAAAATCTTTATATATATATGATTATTTTAAGATATGAATAATTGATGATTGCTAGTAAAACCAGCACGACTGTTATTATGCGTCCATGTAATTGTGCTGTGATGCTGTGTTTTAATTGATATATGATTCGTCATAGTGCCTTGGAAGTTTCATTTATGGCAACAATCAAATGAATCTTTGATTTGACTTTTTGTGTTTGGCATAAATGGCTTATAAGTGGATTTTGAACTTTGAGCAAACTGATGTGTGCCTGAAATGTAAATTATGTAATACGCTGGCCAATGGTGTATGGGAACTTTATTTTCAGAATGCTGGAAATAAAATTTAGATGGCTGACAAGGAAAATTAAGCACTTAATTTTATCGGATTTAATCTTTAAAAACTAAAAAGAATGTTCTATGGAGTGACTTGTGATTGATTGGTCATTTTTTCAATCAAAAATAAAGAATTAAACAAAACGCTAATTCAGTAGAATAGTGGATTGTCCAGGTATCGTACCACGGGGACTTTGGGCTGTGTTGTATCAATTCGAGTGGTATTTTCTAATTTAATTTGAAGAAGAGAGAATGATTTGATTTTTACTAATGAGAATTTAAATTAAAATAAAATAATTGTGCAAATAAAGAGAATAATTTGAATATGGAGAGACTTAGGATTTTGAACCCACTACTTATCTCATATCATGTAATTAAAATATCTAATTATAGTGAATCAATGGCCCAGATAATAATGATGTATCGTGCCTACAAGCTCCAATATCATCGTCAAGTAAATGAGTATATTCAAAACGTACGCATGAATCATCTTTGGTCAACACGAATTGTTTACACTAAACCAAGGTTGTAGCACAATTTGTCTCCCCTAAGCATGACTCATTCCATGATTTGTATATACAAGAAAGTAAAATAGTAGTATGATCATGCATTCTCAATCACAGAAATTGAATACATAAATCGAATGAAAAGATTATCTGAATAAAAGATTTAACAGCGATTATACAACGATTATCCAATTCTAATAAAAAATTAGAATTAAAATACAAAATTACATGATTCTTGATTAGAATTTTATCTCAATCCTAAGAAGAAAGCTTAGCTGCTCATGGAGAGGTTGAACACTTTGAATGTTGAAGAGAAAGCCATGGATAGATGATTGTTCTTTTTCTTTAGCTTCTAGTCGTCTTCTCTACAGTTTCGGATCCCAAAACAGGTGCTCAAACCTCTTTTTATACCCTCCAGTCGATTCTGAGTAAAAAACACGTGCACAAAGATCGAGGCAAATCCGCTCATGCGGATTAGTGCATTCTGCTCGTGCGGATTCACTCAGAGGAGAATTTTTGGTTAGGGAAATCCGCTCGTGCGGATTCACTTAGTCATGAAATTTTGCTTTTTTTGCGATCCTTTTGTCTCTGAAGTGATATTAACCTGAAGAGAAAGAAAAATATTTTATTGTCTCAAATATCATAAGCTTAAAAGACTAAAAAACAAAAGATAAGGAGTCTCAAAGTGTAACATTTCAGCGCGGTGATTTTGACAAGGCTTAATTCACCGAGAGGTGTATGAAAATTTGTTATGTGGACTGTGTTGATTTGTTCTTACTTCTATTTCAGGCACAAGCAGGTGATGTTGGAGGCTTATGATCAACAGTGTGATGAAGCGGCAAAAATATTTGCAGAGTATCATAAGCGCCTTCGTTACTCTGTTAATCAAGCAAGGGATGCTCAAATGTTGACTGTTGACTCATCTATTGAAGTTGTCAACACCTACAGTGCAAATAGTGAAAAAGAGGCTGTTTATTCAACTGTTAAAGGGACCAAATCTGCAGATGAAGTCATTCTCGTAGAAACAACCAGGGAAAGAAATATCCGGAAGGCATGTGAATCTCTTACAATGCAAATGATTGAAAAGATTCGAAGCTCATTTCCGGCTTATGAAGGAAGTGGCATCCATTTGAACCCTCAATTGGAAGCTGCCAAGTTAGGCTTTGATTTTGATGGGGATATATCGGATGAGGTTAGAGACATAATTCTTCATTGCCTGAAGAGTCCTCCTCAATTGCTTCAGGCTATTACTGCATACACTCAACGGATGAAAACACTGATCACTAGAGAAATAGAGAAAATTGATGTTAGAGCTGATGCAGAAACCTTAAGGTATATTTGTCATTTGGTCTCATCTTTTACTTGCACTTTTTGGTTTTGGAACACTTCGCCTATCGTTTTTAAATAAAAAAATGTTATAAACTGAACATGTTCTTCTAGATTTATAAGCCTTTGTTATCAATTCAATGGCTATTTGTCCTCTTGTAGTCTTTTGCTTATCAATCAGCAAAAGAAGTATATTTGTGATTTATTGTCTTTCATCTCTCCCTAATGTTCGCATATATGATTTTCATAACTGTTTCATCTAGGGATGGCATGCTTGGTTCCATTGTGTATATCTTTTGGTGTAGTCTCATTGTTGCTATGTCTGGGTGAACATTTCTTTTTTTTGGTCAATTAATTGATTTAATTATTGTCTTCTCAATCAGGTACAAGTACGAGAATAACAGAGTCATGGATGCTTCTCCGGATGCAAGCTCACCGTTACAATATCAACTTTATGGTAATGGAAAGATTGGAATGGATGTGCCTTCGACGGGAACTCAAAATCAACTTCTTGAAAGACAGGTCATTGTCTTTTCTATTGGGTAGCCTTTGATATGGTTCTTCTTTCTAGCTTTGCACTTTCCATGTATCATTTGTGCAGCCTGGCTGTTTTCTTTTGGAGTAATATTTTCTTATATGTCATGGATCATGGTAGGCACCTTCCCCAATTTTCACAACTCAATTGATTAGGATTCAGGTTTCAGGATTTAGGATTCTTTTGTTTATCTTGTGATTTGTTCACGTTTTTAATTCTATAACTTCATCTGTATTTTACTGGATTCCTCATCTATCTCATCGCTGATTGTATGTTTGTGGGCTGTGTGGCTGTAGACACAAATTTTGAAATACGAAGTATTTCAACACATTTCAAAATTGTATGTTACAAATGTCCACTGTTTAATTTTTGGACTAAACAGTGTTGAAGACTAAACAGTGTTGATTATTTGAATAGCAGGTTCTTATTTCCGATCTGTATTTCAGATCGTTAATTACACATTTTAGACAAATGAAATCTCCGATTAATGAAGAATAAAATAAACAACAAAAGACAATTTAAGAAGAATAAATATTTTATTGAAATTGTTATGGGTTTTGAATCTTCGAATACAAAATACAATTCTTAAGTTTGGAACCCTTTACCTATTCATCGCCATTAGCATAGGCTCTTGAGTTTTCTAGGCTTCTCTTCTTCTTTCTTGTAACGATTTCTTTAGCTCTCAATTTCTCTCTCTGTCTCTCTGATCTTTTCACTTCTGATTTTTCTTTCCCCCGTCTTGTGTGATGGTCCTCATATTTAGGCCAAGTTTGGGAAGACTAAATAAGTGCACTTTTTGGTCTTTTTGGACTAAAAAATTGAGGTTGAAAATATGGATGTTTGGGTTAACTTTTTGACTTTTTATTGAAAAATGTGTAATAAAAAATTGTAAAAATTGATTTGTAGGGAAAAATTTGAATTGGGAGTTGTGCAGCCGTAATTGTTGACTTTTGGTGAATAGTGTTAACTTTTTAACTTTTTGAGTAACTTTTTGACTTTTTGGCTTTTTAGGAACATCCCAAACTTGGCCTTATGGAGGGCCATCAGGTGATAGGAATGCTTCATCTTCAATTTGAATTTCAAATTGAATGATAGCGCTATTTGAATTTTGAATAATAGCGCTATCTGATTAATCGTATACCTGATTAACCGGATTGATCTTTGGGGTTTCATCCTGTGTGGTGTCCTTACTGTAGGCTCTACAGGTGTCATCTTTCGTAGGCTCCACGTGTCCTTTGAGCATCTTGAAAAACGTCGTTGAGATACAATGTCGTTTTATTTATGTACTTCAGCGGATCATGTGGATCTTTTTTCAGGAAGTGATTACCTACAACCTTCCTATCATCGGCTCTATACGTGTCATAAATTTAGTTGAAATTTATGTGCCAACAAATGCCCCTCGTGACTTGCACAAGTGAATTTTCTTAATTGTGCGAGTCACGACAATTTGGCACTTTTATCTGGATGATCTTTAGGTCTTGGATGGGATTATTTCTTTGCTTTGACCCCTGGCCTTTTTTTTTTTTGGGGGGGGGGGGGTTGATGGCTCTTTTTCATGGGCCCTTTTACTTTTGTTACATGGGCCCTTTTTGTGGACTTGATCTTCTTTTTTTTTAAAATAAAGGGTTAATTGCCCTTTATAGTCCATGGGCCATTTACTTTTGTTGCATGGGTCCTTTTTGTGAACTTGATTTTTTTTTTTTAATTTTTTTTTATTATTTTAATTTTTATTTTATTATTATTTTTTTTAAGGGTCATGAGTAAAGTCCAAGATTTAATTGGGCATTTCCTTTTGTGGGCCTCCAACTTGTCGCCATTTTTTACGGTAGATTTTTTTTCTAGGCCATCATGAATTTTTCTAAACCATTATGGATCTTTCCTTTTCTGGGCCACTATTTTTTTAATTGAGCCTTTTCTTTTGTGGACCTCCAACTTGCCACCATTTTATTTATTTATTTTTTTTTACAATAGATTTTTTTTGTAGGCCATCATGGATTTTTCTAGACCATCATGGACCTTTCCTTTTCTAGGCCACTATTTTTTAATTGAGCATTTTCTTTTGTGGGCCTCCAATGTGCCACCATTTTTTACAGCAGATTTTTTTTCTAGGCCATCATGGATTTTTCTGGGCCATCATGGACCTTTCCTTTTCTAGGCCACCATTTTTAATTGGGCCTTTTCTTTTGTGGGCTTTCAACTTGCCACCATTTTTTTACAGCAGATTTTTTTCTAGGCCATCATGAACCTTTCATTTTCTAGGCCACCATTTTTAATTGGGCCTTTTCTTTTATGGGCCTCAAACTTGCCACTTAGGATTTTTACAGCATATATATATATATATATTTTAGGAGTTTGTCTAAAATGGAATAGGATGGATGAGCATTGGTAGGATTTCTAATCCTACACAAATTCTTATTTAGTATTTCAAATACTACCTAAACTCTTGCTTCTTTGAAGTATTTTAGGAGACCACTACCTCCCTTTTTAAGCAAAAATTTTTGCTTATATAATACCTATCCATGCATGTGGACAGTAGATATTTTTCCTCTTACAACTTTGTTCTTCCAGCAGTTTTTTTTTTTTTTTTTTTTTTTTTTTTTTTTTTTTTTTTCTGCAAATTTTGTATTGCATGTTAGGTCTTCATCCTTCAAAAGTTGTTTGGCCATTGTCTTTCTCCTCTTCCAACAGAAGCTATTCTTCTTACACTTTAAAGAAGGCACAAAAGAATTCCTTCAAATTCCTTTTAATCAGGTATGCTTCTCTATTTATTGCTTCTCTTTTTTAATAGCATGTATTTGTTTATTAGCATTTTTTTTTTTGGAACCCAAATATGAACACAGACTTTTTTTTTCTCTTTTTCTCTTTTTTTTTTTTCTTTTTTTTTTTTTTTTTTTTTTTTCCTTCTCTGAGCATCATAAATGGGGAAGGCAGGTGTCCTTCACTGGGTTACTTGTCTTGCCCTTTTTTTTTTTATGAAAGATAATTCTACCACTTTGTTCCCGGCATCGAATTCAAATAAGATTCATTATTCTATTTGATGGATTTTCGTTTCACATCTGGTTTCTACAAAAATTAATCTTGTGAGCACTTGGTTAGCTTTAGAACTTTTTCATTTAATCAAAACTTCACCAGATATAAATCAACTGCAACAAGTATGAGGTGCTTAGATTTATTTTTTTGCTTAAGAAGAATTGCTTGTGTAAAGACCAGAAAATCTGAACAAGTTTAGTAACTTGGTTTTATTTATTTATTTATTATTTTTTTTTTTTGAAGAACAAACCAACACAGGTTTTTTTTTTTTTTTTTTTTTTAATTCCCACTCCCTTTTTTTTTTTCAAAATGTTTTTTTTTTTTTTTTTGATCATTAAGATCACTTCTAATTGCATTGAATAAAAATTTTGTTTTATTTTCGGAATCCATTCTTCCTTGTTCTGAAAATAAAGAAGATCCTTTCAAATTCAAATTTGATTTAAGTTCACTGATTAAAGTCAAGAAATAACTCATTTTTGTTGATAATGGGTTGTTATCAAATATATCTGTTTTATCTTTAAATTCTCGAGAATCCGTATCAGTAAGAAAGATAGTATGAATCTTATTTTTTTCTATGAAATTTTCTATTGAAGTTTCATTTATGATTAAAGGTGAAAACAAATTTTGTATTGTTCCACGATGTGGTCCATTCAAGAAAGGATCATATATTTTGGGCAAGTATTCTTTTTTAGGCTCATCATTACACAATCGAATCCTTTTTTCAAGTAAATCCAGAGAAAGAAATTATTTGGATTGATTCTCAATTCTATTTATCAACTTTTTGTTTAGATTGTTACTTTTTTGTTTGTTGGTCGAAACCCAATGGTTGTACAGTTCATCAGAGGAGAGTTTTTCTATTATGGACAAGGACATCTTTCTTTGTATCATTTTACAAAAAGCTGATAAACTGGGTGGAAACGTAAAAGATATTCTTTTTTTTCCATAACTTTGCCGTGTATAAAAAAAATATTGTGACATTTCCTTTCTTACAGCATTTTCAGATCGATTGTTTTTTATGTATCGCAACGGTCGATTCCATCGATTATAATTGAAAAGAAGAGTTACAAAGGGTTTTTCAAACCAGAAGAGTTCTATATTTTTATCTTCAATTATTTTTAACTTCGAATTTTCTTGATTCCCATCCAGATAAGAAGCTTCATAAATTGGGCTATTTTTATAGCATGTCTCTTTAAAGTGAAAGTGGAATTCATCCTTTGTTTTTTCCTTTCCATTCACTCGGATCTCTTCTGTTTCATCGATTTTGTCCGGATCCTCCTTTTCTTCCGAAAAAAGGGAAGGAGAAGGATCTTCTTCGGTGGATCCCTCTTGTTCCTGTTTAGTCCCCTTCGTTTCGTAAGTTGTTTCTATTTCTACATCTCTTTCTGCCGTTTTTGAGGTTTCTTTCAGTTTCTTAGTAAGAATGGGTGACGGTATTCTGCCTAAATAGTAGACACAGGTAATAAATAAGAGAATACTAAAGATCCGATCCATAGAATTTCTCAATTCTGACACAAGGTACTTATTAGATCGAATAAGTACATTTGATCTAATAGAATGATTTGGCCGTATCCAGACTAATACCAATCCAAGCCATTTCATGAATAAAATGTGACCAATTAACCAACCAACAAAACTACTTGTTACAAATAACATCTTGTTGTTGCATCGAAACATATAAATGTTGACTAATCTGGCTAACATTGAACTTGGTAAAATGAAATGGTTGAATAAGTGAAAAATGAGATTATTCAGGAATCCACATTGAATGCTGAGATTACGCATTGAGAATCCTTGGCAGTGATTGTGTCCTTCACCCTAACGGCTTGAATCCTTGGCAGTGAATGTATCCGTCACCCCAACGGCTTGAATCCTTGGCAGTGATTGCGTCCGTCACCCCAGCGGCTTGAATCCTTGGCAGTGATTGCGTCCGTCACCCCAGCGGCTTGAATCCTTGGCAGTGATTGCGTCCGTCACCCCAGCGGCTTGAATCCTTGGCAGTGATTGCGTCCGTCACCCCAGCGGCTTGAATCCTTGGCAGTGATTGCGTCCGTCACCCCAGCGGCTTGAATCCTTGGCAGTGATTGCGTCCGTCACCCCAGCGGCTTGAATCCTTGGCAGTGATTGCGTCCGTCACCCCAGCGGCTTGAATCCTTGGCAGTGATTGCGTCCGTCACCCCAGCGGCTTGAATCCTTGGCAGTGATTGCGTCCGTCACCCCAGCGGCTTGAATCCTTGGCAGTGATTGCGTCCGTCACCCCAGCGGCTTGAATCCTTGGCAGTGATTGCGTCCGTCACCCCAGCGGCTTGAATCCTTGGCAGTGATTGCGTCCGTCACCCCAGCGGCTTGAATCCTTGGCAGTGATTGCGTCCGTCACCCCAGCGGCTTGAATCCTTGGCAGTGATTGCGTCCGTCACCCCAGCGGCTTGAATCCTTGGCAGTGATTGCGTCCGTCACCCCAGCGGCTTGAATCCTTGGCAGTGATTGCGTCCGTCACCCCAGCGGCTTGAATCCTTGGCAGTGATTGCGTCCGTCACCCCAGCGGCTTGAATCCTTGGCAGTGATTGCGTCCGTCACCCCAGCGGCTTGAATCCTTGGCAGTGATTGCGTCCGTCACCCCAGCGGCTTGAATCCTTGGCAGTGATTGCGTCCGTCACCCCAGCGGCTTGAATCCTTGGCAGTGATTGCGTCCGTCACCCCAGCGGCTTGAATCCTTGGCAGTGATTGTGTCTGTCACCTCAACGGCTTGAATCCTTGGCAGTGAATGTGTCCGTCACCCCAATGGCTTGAGTGTTTGGCAGTGAATGTGTCCTTCACCCCAATGGCTTGAATCCATGGCAATGAATGTGTCCCACTGGGCGTGCCAAAATTTGTAGACACAAATTTTGAAACATGAAGTATTTCAACACATTTCAAAATTTTATGTTAAAAATGTCTACTGTTTAGTTTTTGGACTAAACAGTATTGATTATTTGAATAGCAGGTTCTTATTTCCGATCTGTATTTCAGATCGTTAATTACACATTTTAGACAAATGAAACCTCCGATTAATGAAGAACAAAATAAACAACAAAAGACAATTTAAGAAGAATAAATATTTTATTGAAATTGTTATGGGTTTTGAACCCTCGAATACAAAATACAATTCTTAGGTTTGGAACCCTTTATCTATTCATCACCATTAGCATAGGCTCTTGAGTTTTCTAGGCTTCTCTTCTTCTTTCTTGTAACGATTTCTTTAGCTCTCAATTTCTTTCTCTCTCTCTCTGATCTTTTCACTTCTGATTTTTCTTCCCCCCGTCTTGTGTGATGGTCCTCATATTTATGGAGGGCCATCAGGTGATAGGAATGCTTCATCTTCAATTTGAATTTCAAATTGAATGATAGCGTCATTTGAATTTTGAATAATAGCGCTATCTGATTAATCGTATATCTGATTAACCGGATTGATCTTTGAGGTTTCATCTTGTGTGGTGTCCTTGCTGTAGGTTCTACAGGTGTCATCTTTCGTAGGCTCCACATGTCCTTTGATCATCTTGAATAACGTCGTTGAGATACCATGTCGTTTTATCTATGTACTTCAGCGGATCATGTTGATCTTTTTTCAGGAAGTGATTACCTACAACCTTCCTAGGGGTTTCATCTTGTGTGGTGTCCTTGCTGTAGGCTCTATAGGTGTCATCTTTCGTAGGCTCCACATGTCCTTTGAGCATCTTGAATAATGTCGTTGAGATACCATGTCGTTTTATTTATGTACTTCAGCAGATCATGTTGATCTTTTTTCAAGAAGTGATTACCTTCGACCTTCCTATCATAGGCTCTATACGTGTCATAAATTTAGTTGAAATTTATGTGCCAACAGTGGCACTTTCTACATTTTGTGCTTGTTAATTTTTTACTTGGTTTTTATACTTGTTTATTTGTTCTATAGATATCTTCTTTATTGAAAAAAGTAGTTACATGTATGTTACATTTTTTTTTTCTTCACAGAAAGCACATGTTCAGCAATTTGTGGCTACTGAAGATGCACTCAACAAAGCTGCAGAAGCTAGGAATATGTGTCAAAAACTTCTGCAACGTCTGCATAGAGGTGGTGATGCTATATTTTCACAATCACTTCTTGTTGGAAGCACATCACAAAATGTGGGCAGTCTCAGACAATTTGAGGTAATACTATGTTGATAACTTGATTAAGGGATACAAGGGCTCTACTAAGTTGGATGAACTCAGAAAAGTTGATTCCACAATTGTAAATTCTATATATAAAAAATAAAAAATAAAAAAAACCCAATAAATTCTCGAGATTTTTTATTTATCAAAAAAGAAAAAAATCTGTGAGATTTTTTCTGTTATTTGAGGTAGGATGTTTAAATTGAATCATCTAATTCATTACACTATACTATAATAGCATTTGATAATCTTGTCTTATAAGATGGGGGATCCTAGATGTGTACAATATTCACATTTCACATGGTGGGGTGTGGATGGGGTGGTGGGAAAAATATTACAAACTGAACTTTTCATTAGTTTGTTGTTACAACTAAAACGATGTGTTAACTGTCATCTAACTGGCGTAAAGCTGAACGGAGTTGAAACAAGCATTATGTTTTTGATATGACTGCCTGTGGTATCTTATTCTGAGAAAAAGAAAGAAGAAATAAAAATGAAAATTTTAATATGGTTGCTTTTGATTTAATGAATAATATGGTCTTGGTCTTGGTCTTTGTCAAATAGTTGAATTGGTGCTGAATTTTGTCTATAATGTCTCTCAATAATAGTTGAAAATAGATCAATCTTCATCCAATTCTGTCCCTGAACATTAAAGAGTCCCAGGGTGCAACAAGGGCATCCTATGTCGAGGTTTCCTGTCCTGCCATTGCTACCTAAGGCCTAGGCATTCTAAAATGGCAATAACTTTAGTTACCAGAGAATTTTTTTTTTATTTTTCTAAATATGAACCTATTGACTGGCTTGGAAAAGTCTACTGCATCAGTTATTTCAATCTCCAATTTCATCCTTTCAAGCTTAATCTACAATTTGAATTGGAAGTTGACTAGCAAGAGCTTATGTCTTAGCAGTTCCTTTTTATCTTTGTTTAGTTGGAGGTTTGGGCCAAGGAAAGAGAAGCTGCTGGATTGAGGGCTAGCTTGAATACATTGATGTTTGAAGTACCACGCTTGAATAAATTATGTGCAGAGAGGAAGGAAGCTGAAGATTCTTTGAGAAAGAAGTGGAAAAAGATTGAAGAATTTGATGGCCGCAGATCTGAACTTGAATCCATAAATAATGCTCTACTTAAGGCTAACATGGTAAGATAGCTCTGCTTTAAGGATTTCTTCTTGAACTGTAAACCAGGAATGGGTATGCATTGTACAATCATGGTCTTGACTAACGAATGATATCACTGTTGCAGTAGCTGATATTATCATCAGTTGGTCATATCCTTCCAACTCAAGCCATGCAGATTTCTATCTTACTGATGGGAGAATCACCCAACCAGTAACCGTATTTTTCATCAAATTGAAATCCGGCAACTACTGAAAAAAATTGTGATTGCTATCTAGAAAATGCATAAATTATGTTTTAACTGACTGTGATAAACTGATTCTGATTTTTCCAAGTTTGTTTAGTAGGATCAATTGATAGAGGCTCAAAATTTATTTGCTATTTTAGACTTTGTTGATGTTTTAGTTGGTTAGGTCCCGCTTTAAGGGGTTGGTCCTGCATTCTTTTGGCATCTCCTTGATGCTTTCTTAATAAATCTTTATTTATCAAAAAAATCCCACTAGGCTTCGGTTGCAAGTGGGGGATGTGGCGTCAGAATCACAGAACACTTTTGTAGGTGGCCGCCAGATTCTGGATGCAGTGTTAGTAGCTAATGAGTGTGTTGATTCTCGTTTGCGAGCAGGGTAGTCAGGTGTGATTTGTAAGTTGGATATTGAGAAGGCCTATGATAATGTCAATTGGGATTTTTTTGTGTCTGTCATGGAGCGGATGGTTTTTGGGGAAAAATGGCAGCGGTGGATTTGGTTTTGCATCTCGACGGTCCAAATGTCTGTTTTGGTGAATGGGACGCCGGCGTGTTACTTCCAGACGTTTCGGGGTTTGCGGTAGGGGGATCCATTGTCCCCTTTGTTGTTTATTCTTGTCATGTAGGCACTGAGTCGGTTGTTGTCTCGGGCAGTGTGGGGTGGTTTGTTGGCAGGTTTTTCAGTGGGAGATAGTGTTCGTGTTTCTCATCTTTTGTATGTTAATGATGCTTTGATTTTCTGTGGGGCTGATTCCGAGCAATTAGGGCATTTGCGCTGTATTGTGTTATGTTTTGAGGCGGTCTTGGGTCTGAAGGTGAACTTGGCCAAGTCGGAATTAATTCCGGTAGGGGAGGTCTGCCATCTTTCGATTTTGGCAGCCATTTTGTGTTGTAAGGTGTCTCATTTGCTAGTGTCTTATTTGGGTTTGCCTTTGGGGGCTCCTTATAAGGCGATAGGGGTGTGAGATGGTGTGTTATAGAGGATGCAGTGTCGATTGGCAGGGTGGAAGAGACAATACTTGTCTAAGGGTGGTAGGCTAACTTTAGTGAAGAGCGTATTGAGTAGTATTCCGACTTATTTTATGTCGGTCCATGTCATTCTTGTGTTAGTGGCTTGCCGTTTGGAGAAGTTGCAGTGAGATTTTTTGTGGGGAAGTGATGGTGGGGAGTTTCGGTATCATCTCGTTAGTTGGGAGCAAATTTGTTGTCCTAAGGAGGATGGGGGGTTGGGGGTAAGGAGGGTGTGTAAGTTTTATTTGGCTTTGTTGGAGAAGTGGTTGTGGAGATTTTACAATGAACGAGATCAGTTATGGTGGAGGGTTGTGGCATCTAAGTATAGGTTAGGGAGGGTGAATGGTGTACCAGAGAGGTGGGGGGGTTCTCATGGGTGCAGGTTGTGGAAAGGAATTTGGTTGGGTAAGGTTGGGTTTTGGGATCAAACCCAGTATCGAGTGGGTAATGAAATGCGTATGCGGTTTTGGAAAGATCGAAGGTGTGGGGAGATTATTTTATAGGAGTGGTTCCCTATGATCTTTCAGTTGACGGTGGATCTTGATGTGATAGTGGCTTCATATTTGGGTGGAGGAGGTGAGGGGTTGGTTTGGGATATAGTGCTTCTTCGGTAGACTCAGGATTAGGAGTTTGGGTAGTTGGTTGATTTGTTGGCCTTGTTGTGCGAGGTCAAGGTCGCTCAAGAGGGGGAAGATGTTTTGGTTTGGGAGGCTCCACGTGCGAAAGGTGTTTTTTTCGTCTCGTCATTTTGTGGTACTTTGTGTGTCGGTGGTGGGAGGTCTTTCCCTTTGCGTCATGTGTGGGTTTCTGATGTTCTGTCGAAGGTGGCTTTCTTTGTGTGGACAACAGCATTTGGTAGAATTTTGACTATTGATAATTTGATCCGTTGGTGCTGTATGTGTTGTGCGGATGCAGAGACAGTGGATCATTTGCTTATTCACTGTCCGGTTGCTTCTCGTTTGTGGGTGCTGGTTTTTTCTGTGTTTGGAGTGGTGTGGGCTCAACTAAAGCAGGTTATGGATGTTGATTACATCGAGACTTTCTCTCCTACTGCTAAGCTTACTACTCTCCGTTGTCTTTTGTCTGTTGCTACTGCTCGTAATTGGTTTCTTCACCAACTTGATGTTACAAATGCCTTCCTCCATGGTGACTTGCACGAGGAGGTCTATATGGTTCCTCCTCCTGGCCTTTGCCGACAGGGGGAGCATCTGGTGTGTCGGCTTCATAAATCTCTTTATGGGCTGAAACAAGCTTCTCGTAACTGGTTCTCCAAATTTTCAACTGCTATTAAGAAAGCGGGTTTTCACCAATCTATGGCTGACTATTCCCTCTTTACCAAAGTTAATGGCGATTCTTTTACAGGAGTGCTCATCTACGTTGATGATATTATCATTACAGGCAATAATCTTGAAGAAATGGAACACCTTAAATCTTTCCTTCTCAAACAGTTTCGCATCAAGGATCTCGGTGACTTGAAGTATTTTTTAGGCATTGAATTTTCGCGATCCAAGAAAGGTCTTTTTTTGTCCCAAAGGAAATATGCTCTAGATATTTTACAAGATGCAGGTTTAACGGGGGCAAAGCCAGAAAAGTGTCCAATGGAACAAAATGTGAAATTACAAACCACAGATGGTCCTATACTCAATGATCCAACGAGATATAGGCGGTTGGTTGGAAAATTAATTTATCTTACTGTCACAAGACTAGACATTGTTTTTGCAGTTCAGAATTTGTGCTTCGTTTTTTTTTTGTGTATTTGGTTATTTTGGGGGGGGGGGAAGCTCCCTGGGCATTAGGTTGGAGCGGAATTGTCAGGTTTTTCAGGGGTGTGCTTAGTCGATTGTTCAATTAGAGTCTCGGTTTTGTGGTGTTTTGTATAGTTGGGTGTCGGGAAGAGTAGATCCTAATTTATTTGTTGTTTTAGACTTTGTTAATGTTTTAGTTGGTTAGGTCCCACTTTGAGAGGTTGGTCTTGTATTCTTTTGGCATCTCCTTGATGCTTTCTTAATAATTCTTTATTTATCACCAAAAAAAAAGAAGCTTGCTGTTATTACCAGCTGTCTAGCACTGGCTTGTGATGTTTGAAATGCTTGACAAATTATTTACAAGCCAAATTATTTACTTTTGTATAAATAAAAAACAAGATTTTTTTGTGAAGGATTTGGAGGCTAGTTATCTTACGTAGAATATGTATCTCTTCATGTTGTAACACATTATGCATTATTCATGTTTGATAGGTTATTTATGTAGGATGATTGGTGCATCTGTTACTTTTTGGGATCATTTCTTTTACACCTCATCAGTGAAATGTTATATTAGTCCCTTGGGGATCTTGAAAGCTTAAGGTTAACTTCTTATCATGAATGCTCAATATTATATCTTATTTTTTTGTTTTTCTACTCTTCTTGTTCCTCATCCTCCATCTTTTGATGGCAATTTTGTAAATTAGACTAGCATTCTTATCTTACCTGGTTTCCTTGAACAAATTTTCTAGTTATACCCTGATATTGCAAATTCATTCCATGATCTTTCTAATATGGACCCAACATCCTTTGATGTTTGCTGTATTTTATACACTTTGTTTCTCTGCTATTTGTATTCTATTGTGTTTAAATTGGTTCATCGCTATTTTAAACTGTGATAGTGTTCTTTAATGTCTGGGGAAACTGCTGAATTCCCACCAACCTATAGTCTTAAGTAGAATTTTTTTTTTTTTTTTTTTCGTGTGGTTAGTTAATCAAGGGACAATAGTTACTTGCACCAGAGGAACCTGATTTGTGTGGTTTCATCAACTAGAAGAAATTGTAAAAGATCCATTGACACTACGGCTTTCTCTCTTTCATCAAAACTGATCTTTGTTTTGTCTGTCTATATGTTTCTACGGCATCATTGCAATACCTTCGTTTACATTCTTGATTCCTAGTTCACAAATGAAAGAGACGAAGAGAACAGAATAGGAGTATTGTCTATCAACTCACCATCATGGGAGCATCCTGTAGTTTGTTGTGCATCTGTAGTTAGCACAATTTTTATCAATATGAATGTCATGTTAACATCTTTTTTTGGGTGTGTTGATGTTTATTTTTCTTTGTTTTTACATGTACTGTTATAAGCAACATTCAGTGTTCTTATTTTCGTTTTTTTCACCTTGTAGGATGCTGCTGTGTTCTGGAGCCAACAGCCATTAGCTGCAAGGGCGTATGCATCAAGCACCATTATCCCAGCATGCACAGTTGTTGTGGAGTTATCAAATGGTGCAAAAGATTTTATTGATAAAGAAGTGTCGTCCTTTTATCGGAGTCCTGATAATAGTCTCTACATGCTTCCATCAACCCCACAGGTTGGTAAAACCAAATAGTTCAATTTTATACATGATTTTATATCATAGTTGTCAAGCGCTGCAAGTTACAATTGTAATTTGCTAAAGATTCCATTTTGATTCTTTTGGTGATGAGGAAATATAAGTATTTGTTTGCTGGTAATGATTGAAATTTCACAATGTATTTCTATTTATTGGTGCAGGTTTCTGGATCCGGTTATGATTGTATTTAGTTGATCAACAAATCTAAGTACCCATCTCAGACTTTTGGAGAAATGATTCTTGTTGTTTTTTGGCTAGAAAAATACGGGCTCCGTTTGGTGGAGCTTTCAAAATATAATTCCACACTCACTTTTGAGTGTGGTGTTTGTTTAGCGTTTTAAAAATTAATTTCACACTCACTTTTGAAAACTCTTTCCAAGGTGAGAAAATTTGGACTAACCGATCGTCCCACCGGTTGACTGGAACAGTGTTCAGTTTTTTATTTTTTATTTTTACTCCTGTTATTTTTATATTATAAAAAAAATATTTACGAATTTTTTTTAAAGTTTTTTATGAGCTTTGAATAGAATTTTGGATTGTGTATTTGGTTATGAGTTGTAAGTTTTTATATCAAATATCATATGTCACATCACTCAATTCAAACTTAATTTAAAACTCTTTTCAAAACTCATTACCAAAATTTTTCACACTCAAATCATAATTCCAAAACTCACAAACTCAAAGTACAACTCTATTCTTAAATCATAATTCTAAAACTCTACCAAACACTACCACGATGTTTACCATGATTTGTTATTAGATCTGAGTCTGACTTACACAACTGATGTATTTTTTTGATACAGTATAATGTTCTAGTTTTCAGGTCTGGTAACGAAAGATTGGATATGTAAAATCAGAAATATGTTTAAATATTGTTGAAGAATTAGTAAGTCATATAATTAGATAAAAAAGAAGAAAAAGAAGATCATACTATCAATTGCTTCATATATCTGAAGTCAAGCACATAATTGTAAAAATACCTGGTCAACTCCTATTAACCAGGAAAAAGACATTTAGAGGAGGTGCACAGGTCATTGAGGCACAGATGGACACATGCCTGGTGCTATGAATCTTCTGTTAAAAAATATTATTGTTGGCAAACTAACTTTAAATGCCAATACTGCATAATTTCAATTCATGCTGTTGATCACTAATTCATACTTAAGTCATTATGCATTGGGCCAAATAATGATTTTGTGTCCACTTAATAATACATTTTTGTAGTTCATACTTTAGTACTTTACTGTTCTTAATCCCCTTAGGTTTTCAATCAGGCGCTATTGGAATCTATGGGTGCTAATAGATCTTCAGGACCTGAAGCAGTTGCTGCCGCTGAAAAGAATGCTGTTCTATTGACTGCAAGAGCTGGTGCTAGAGATCCGTCTTCAATTCCTTCCATTTGCCGTATTTCTGCTGCCTTTCAATATCCTGCTGGTCAGTTTTTGTTCATTTTGACCGAAATCTTCATTTTAACTGAACAATGTGGGGGTACTATCCTAAAAAGTCAGAATCTCAGTTTCAGTATATTTTTTGCCCTTGTTTAAAATGTCTTTTGCCAAAATGGGTGAGCTGACTTGATAGTTTGATTCTGATCCACCACTTATTAGCTGATCTGTTGACAATAGTAGGAGATAGAATAACTTTAGCATTAGTGTAATTGGGAGTTGGCCCACTTTGTTGGTAAAATTGGTTTTCCTTGATGTCTTTTCAGGTATCTTTCTGTCCTTTCCCATTTTAGCGAACCGTTATGTCTTGGCCATTAGGCTTTAAGGCATAGAAAGGAAACATAGAGTACATTTAGATTTCTCTGAAATTCTGTAAGCAAAATGAAAAGGTTTGTATGGAATTGAGAATGTTTACAGCCTCTTGAATTTAGGAGTGACTCTTATCATTTGCTCAAGAAAATTTGGAAGTTTTTGAATGCCAACTTGCTTGCAGTATTTCCCTTATTTTTCGTCTAGACATTGTCTTAATTAAATCATTTCTTATCAGGTTTGGAAAGTTCAGATGCTGGTTTAGCATCAGTATTAGAGTCCCTAGAATTTTGTTTGAAGCATCGTGGTTCTGAGGCTTGTGTGTTGGAGGACTTGGCAAAGGCCATCAATTTGGTCCATATACGGCAGGATCTTGTTGAAAGTGGTCATGCATTGTTAAATCATGCTTACCATGCACAACAAGAATATGAAAGGTAGTGCTGACCTGTACCTTTTACCTTGTATGTTGTTGGAAAATATATAATCTAAAAGATCATTGCCTAATGTGTGAGGCCCCTGAAAATTTTATTTTCTTAAAAGTCTCTTACTTTTGGAATATTGTAATGAAAATCCTTGATTTCCTAAATAATTTCAACTTTAACCCTAGAAGCGAAAACTCGCAAACCCAAATCGATTTCGGTAACTTAAAAATAATTTCTAATACCCTAGTACTAAATAAATGACTCCCAAATATGGATTTACCACCTGAAACTCTAGATTTTTCCGATTTTTATCATGTTCGTCGATTGATAGTCTTTTTATTCGAAACAAGAAATCTAAACCGAATAAGATTCTCTAACCCTAATTTAATTTAATTCTACACTTAACTAAATGTTCCAATTTAATTTATCAAAAATAAATAAATGTTCCAATTTATAAATTAAAACCAAAGTCCTCACATTTTTATTAGCCCCAAGTTAGTACTATTATATGTAAATTTATACATGTTGTACCTTTAAACTTATTTAAATCTTTTGTACACAAAAATATCTACAAATAGTATACAAATTGTATACAAAATAAAAATAAAAATCCCCTCAAATCCACCCCACATGGGCCGGCCACCCCCTTGAAGATATATATATGTACTTTGGAGACAAATTGCTTGATTTTAGGCAGAATATTTGACCAATATGCTTTTCTTTTTTTAAAAATCAATATAGTTCTTCACGTTGCTTATGAGATCTTGCGTCCATGCCTCTTAAAATCTGTCAAAAGGATAGCCTTGCTACCTAAGAAAGCTGGACTTAGAAGGTAAGCTAGTTTGACTCATCCGACGATCTGGGATCCTACTTGGTCATTGACCATAGGACTCATTAGTGACTCTCTCTTGACTACAACCCTTAGTGTAGATTTTGGGGCATCACAATTTGGTATCAGAGCCTAGGTTCAACCCTTAGCTCACGCAACCTGATATGCAACTCTAGAATTCCTTACCTTTGTACACTAGTGAATTTTTACTATCACACTATTATATCTATTTAAAAGAGACTAATAATTTAAAACTTTTCCCTCCACCATAGGATGTCATCGGAAAGCCATCAAACGACCGGCATTAGCTTCGACACATGAGAAGCCTTTCGCATGGAAGGTAGGAAGGCCTGTACGTCAATCCCTACTAGCCGTCGACAATGTGAATTTGTCGCTGAAGAGATGATCATTAGGGAGATACGAAAAGTGGAGATGGACTACTCTTACTATATGAAGGAGCAAAAGAGATCTGTTGTTTGATGCCGTCTGCAGTACCTGAGTCGCGCAGCAAAGAGCGCAATCCGTAAGCAGGATAATTGGAAGATGGATACCTTGAAAAATCCAACACATATGATTATTGTTAATATATTAAACTTTAATATAAAATAAAAAAGGAAAAAAAGAAGATATTTAAAAAAAAAAAAAACAAGACATTTAAAAATCGCAATTCACATATATAGATAATTGTAAATATATTAAGCAAAAGGGGGTTTCTAAACCCCAAGCCTTGTGGGACCTCCAATCTCTCAATCTTAATTTTCTAAATTTTTGATTTAAAACAAAAAAAAAAAAATCCTCAGCATTTATTGATTTGGTCAAAATCTCCTGATCAGCATTTATTAACATTTTCCAATCCATATGTCTGAACTTATTGATTTGGTCAAAATGCCTAATTAGCATTTAAAATCTCCTCATACAAATAATTATAGATACAACTCGTGCATAAGCCCTGTGAGAGCTCCAATCTCTCAATCTTAATTTTCTAAATTTTTGATTTAAAAAAAAATCTCAGCATTTATTGATTTAGTCAAAATCTTCTGACATTTAAAAATCGCAATTCACATATATAGATAATTGTAAATATATTAAGCAAAAGGGGGTTTCTAAACCCCAAGCCTTGTGGGACCTCCAATCTCTCAATCTTAATTTTCTAAATTTTTGATTTAAAACAAAAAAAAAAAAATCCTCAGCATTTATTGATTTGGTCAAAATCTCCTGATCAGCATTTATTAACTTTTTCCAATCGATATGTCTGAATTTATTGATTTGGTCAAAATGCCTAATTAGCATTTAAAATCTCCTCATACAAATAATTATAGATACAGCTCGTGCATAAGCCCTGTGAGAGCTCCAATCTCTCAATCTTAATTTTCTAAATTTTTTATTTAAAAAAAAATCTCAGCATTTATTGATTTAGTCAAAATCTTCTGATCAGCATTTATTAACTTTTTCCAATTCACATGCTTGCATTTATTGATTTGGTCAAAATCTTTGATTAGCATTTAAAATCCTCTCATACAAATAATTATAGATACAGCCTGTGCATAGTTACTATAGTAGCCTTTTTAATTTCTCCTGTACACTATGGTTAGTGATAAGATTGTTAAATTATTTTATATATTAAAAAAAAATTAAAACAAATATAAATATTTATAATTATCTCGTGCATCGCACGGGTGATAGGCTAGTATATTATATAAGCAAAAGCGAGTTTTTGTGAGGAGTTTTGTGAGAACTCCAAAATTTTATAATAAATTTGTAATTTTATCAAATTAAAAAATAAATTTAAATAGTGTTGGGATTACAATTATATTCTAATCCTAACATTATTTACACCGTGCCTTCAGGCACGGGCATACGCTGAGTCTTGGCAGATGAAGCACCACACCGACATCCGGTGCAAATTGAGAGAGGCAAATCTCATTACCATGAGCCAATAGAGGTGGAGCAACAATCGGTGCAGCCAGGAACAACCCGAGCATTTCCAATCGAAGTTTCATCTGAACATGTTCTCCCTTCACCGATGTATACACCCCGCTCTCCTGGCCAAGCAACCGACTCGGCAGATGAGGATCCTGAAGAAGATTTTGATTGGTGTAGGGATGGGAGTTAATCTAAGGGTAGTAATCTAGGCTTTTGTAAGATCCACTTATAGTAGGGACCCTTAAAGATATATGTAGTGACTTTGTGACTATGATGTGTGTAGTACCTTCTGAATGAAACTCTGATCTGGAAACCTTTTGTACTAATGCCTATTATAAATATATGAAGTGATGATTTGATCTATATCTGTTGATTGTTACTTACTTTAATATTTCGCCACACCCTAAGAAAACTAACCTTAATTTCAAGTCTAGTAGAAAGATTACCTCCAGTTAGAAATCTAGAAACCAACTTATCCCGTACCATAAACAGAATGGTGGATACGCGAGTTAATGACTACTTAGAGACTAGCAACAATGCCCGAAACCGTTCCAGAAATCAACTAGAAGAGAAAGTTAGAGAAAATGCCTCTTGAGAGTTATAAGAGAAAGTTAGAGGAAAAAAGAGAAACAGGAAAAAAATCAAAGCGAATTGAAATTCTTCCATTTTGACTTGAGAATTGAACTGTGACGCCCCAAAATCTACAGTAAGGGTTGTAGTCAAGGGAAAGTCACTAATGAGTCATATGGTCAATGATCAAGTAAGATTTCAGATCGCTGGAGGAGTCAAATTAGCCTCCCTTCTAAGTCCAGCTTTCTTAGGTAGCAAGACTATTCATTTGACAAATTTTAAGAGGCATTGACACAAAGTCTCATAAGTAACGTAGGGAACTATATTGGTTTTTTAAAAAAAACAAGCATATAATAATAAGAGAATAGATACAAAATATCCTTAATTACAAAAGATAGTTCCATTGAACGTCTCGGTCTCAAATTAAGGTCCTTCTGTGTAAATAGATACTTTATACTCTTGTGATCTGTGAAAATCTCAAATTTTTCCCCATATAGGTAATGTCGCCATTGCTTTAGAGCAAAAACTATGACTGACAATTCCAAGTCATGCGTTGGATAGTTTCGCTCATGTGGTTTCAACTACCTGGAACCATACGCGACTACCTTTTTATTTTGCATGAGCACACAACCTAACCCTTCCTTAGATGCATCGCAATACACACTGTACCCCACTTCTCATTCCGGGATTATCAAAGTTGGCGCACTAGTTAATCTTGTCTTTAGCTCTTGGAAGGATTTTTCGCAAGCGTCGTCCCATTCATATTTTCCTCTTTTTTGCATCAAACAAGTTATTGGTCTGGCTAGTTTGGAGAAATCTTGAATGAACCTTCAGTAATAACCAGCCAATCCCAAGAAATTGCGAATTACTGACAGTTTTCGGTTGTCTTCAATCTAAGACTGCTTCTACCTTGGTTGGATCCACCACAATCCCATTCTCTGACACTACATGTCCTAAGAATTTCACTTATTTTAATCAGAACTCACATTTATTTGCATTGGCATACAACTGATTGTCTCTAAGAACTTAAAGAACAATCCTTAAATGTTGCTCATGCTTTTCTTCAGACCTTGAATATACCAAAATATCATCAATGAACACCACTTCAAACTAGTCAAGATATGGTGTGAAGAGTTTGTTCTTTAGGCTCATAAATACTGCCTGTGCGTTGGTTAGTTCGAAGGGCATTACTACAAACTCGTAGTGACCATATCTGGTTTGAAAGGCAATCTTTGGTATGTCCTCATCCTTGACTCGTAGTTGATGGTAACCCGACCTGAGATCGATCTTTGAATATTACTTTAAGGACATGTTTGATTGGGTGGATTAGAACATGGGATTGGGATTATTAATCCGTGGGCCCAATTATCCTATGTTTATTAGTCCAATGGATAATTAATCCAACAAATTTGTAGCATTATTAGTAATGGGGTAAGGGTGAGATTATTAATCCAATTGGATAGTGAATATCACATTAATTTAATAGGATTATTAATACTTCACTATTAATCTTGTGAATCAAACATGACCTGAGCCTCTAAGTTGATCAAACAGATCATTAATCCTTGAGAGCAGGTATTGGTTCTTGATCGTGACTCGGTTGAGTTGACGGTAATCGATGCATAGTCTCAACGACCCATCATTCTTTTTAGCAAACAGAACGAGCGCTCCCCATGGTGAGGTACTTGGCCTAATAAATCCTTTTTCGAGCAACTCTTGCAGTTGTGTCCTTAATTCTCGTAGTTTTGCCGATGCCATACGATATAGGGCCATAGATATTGGAGTAATTCTAGGTTGTAGTTCAATACTAAAGTCTACCTCCCGAGTTGGTGGTAGTCCCGGTAATTCCTCAGAAAATACATTTGCATATTCGCGTACTACTCCCAAGAGTTCTAATTCTGCTTGGTCTTCCTCATTTAAAATCAAACTTGTTACCCTTCTCGCAAGTTGATCGTGCCACCGTGTCCTACGTTTCGTTGAAGTCAGGGAATCTTGCCTATCTCCTTTAAACTAGAAGTGCATTCCGTCAGGTGCGTGAGCCACTACCTTCTTTTGATGGCAATTGATCACTGCTCGATGGGTGGACAACCAGTCCAAGCCCAAAATGATATTGAAGTCTGACATTTCCATGACACGAAGGTCGCAAGTCAGGCGTAGGTTCGAGACTTCTATCTCACAATCCTGACATATCAACCCTATCCGAACACACCCTTCCATAGGTGATATTACACTTATGGCAGTTTCTAAGGTTCACATACAAGTTCTAATGACTTAACACAAGCAGAGCATATAAAAGAATACGATGCATTAGTATCAAATAAAACATGGACCGAAGAATTATATAGTACTAAATTATCCTTAATTATAAACGGGTCCTCCCCCTCATCTTCTTGTAAGGCAAAGAATTTGGCGGTTGCCTTTTGGTTGCCACTAGTCCTTGCATTTTGTGTTCCTCTACTCTTCTGGTGTTGCTGTCCGGTAGATCCCGTCTTGTTTAACTAGGGCTTCTATTCACCTACTGCTCGGGCATTTACTCCAGAACCTCCTCCTTGGTATCCTGATGGAGAGAGTTGGGGGCATTCACTCTTTTTGTGCCCCAACTGTTGACAATGAAAGCACTGGATTTGTCTTACCGGTCTTGGTTGATAACCTCCTTTCTGAATTTGTTGTTGTGGTTGTTGTGGCCATGAGTAGGGCTTTGGGGCTGTATTTTCCTTCTGGCTCCTCAGAAGTCGTATAGATGTCTGATCCCCTTTCTTCTTGTTCCAAATCCTCCTAGCATCGGCTACATCCGTTTCAGATTCTAATGCCGTCTCCACTAACTCGGCATATAAGTAGAGTCGTTGCAGTAGAACTCTCCCCTTGATTGTAAGATCCAGCTCCTATTCAAAGATTCTTGCTTTCTCTTCATCATTTGCTACATACCTAGTTGCTTAGCGGGTTAATTCGTCAAATTTTGCAACGTATTAGGTTACGGTCATATTTTCTTGCTCTAGGTTTTGGAATTCCCTAAAATTCCTTAAACTGGTTCCATGACAGGTTTGTAATGTCACGGGTAGTCTTGATTAGTTCCCACCAATGATCGGCTTCATCTTCTAGTTCGAATCCTGCCAAGGCTATTCTATCGGCATCTTCAGTTATCCTCATAGTGTCTAGCTATGAAGCATGGACACTCCAAAATCGGTGCCGTGGCGGTGTCCGACACGCGGACACGCCAGGGACGCATACGACACACGTTAGATGGCGTGTCCCTTTAATTTAATGATTTTTGGAAGGGGACACGTGTGTCCAGATATATCTGGACACGCCATGGGACGCGGCGGGGCTCTTTTTAAAATTTGTTAGATTTATTTGGGGTCAAAGTGTAATATTTAAGAAGGGGAAAAAAAAAAAAAGATGTAAAACAAATGAGAGAGTGAAGCGTCAGACCTGCAAAGACCCTCTCTCTCTCTCAGTCGAAGACCTCCGAAGTCGATTGAATTGAAGACCTCCGATCCAGTCGTCTCAATCTCTATCTCAGTCGATCTAGTCGTCTTAGACCTCCGATCTAGACGACTTCGAAGGTAAGCCCCCCTCTCTCTCTCTCTCTCTTTCTCTCTCTCTCTCTCTTTTTCTCTTTGCTCTGCTCTCGATTGAGTAAATTGATTTTTATTTTTATTTTTTTATACGTTTATATATATATGTAAGACTTTTATTTTTTTTTGTAATTATATGTTTATATATATGTATATATATCTAAAACTATATTTTTTTTAAAAAAAAATTATAGGTTTATATATATAGTATGTAAACTTTTTTTTTTATAATTTTTAATCCTTCTAATGTTAATGTTAATTTGTAATGGTTATAATTTATAGGAAAAATGTCTAGTTCAATTTCTGCCAATAACACACAATTTGCCTTTGATGCTGAAGATGATAAGCCACTGTGGAAATATGTGACTAGATTAGAAAAATCTGGTGCAAGAGGGGAGAACTATACTTGTCAATGTAACTTTTGTCGGGCTACACGTAAAGGTTCATACACTAGGGTAAGAGCCCATTTGATGCAAATTAAAAATCAAGGGATAGAAGTGTGTCCAAAAGTAACAAGTAAGGATAAAGCTGAATTTGAGAGAATAACTGCAGAAACAGAGTTGAAATTGAAAAACTCTAGGTTGAAGAAGTCCCATTGCCTCCTCCTAGTTCAAGTGCATCATTAGGTTTATGTTTCAATGAACCAGAGGAGATTTATGGATCAAAAAGGAAAAGGTCAACTGCTATAGGGAGTGGAAGTAGTAACCTTGTTATGAAAGCATTTAACATTGGGGCTCGAGAACGATTAAATAGTGAGATAGCTAGAATGTTTTATTCAGCAGGCTTGCCATTTCATTTGGCAAGAAATCCTATGTTAGTGCATTTACTTTTGCTGCAAACAACAACATACAAGGATATGTACCACTTGGGTATAACATGTTAAGAACTACATTGCTTCAAAAAGAAAGGATGAATATTGATAGATTGTTAGACCCTATTTGAGGCGCATGGAGAGAGAAGAGTGTGAGTATAGTCAGTGATGAATGGAGTGATTCTCAACGAAGGCCATTAATAAATTTTATGGCCTCTACCAGAGGTGGGCCTATGTTTCTTAAAATGGTTGATTGTTCAGGGGAAACAAAGAACAAGTATTTTATTTCCAATTTGATGAAGGAAGTAATCATGGAGGTTGGGCCTAAAAATGTGGTTCAAGTCATTACAGATAATGCCCCAAATTGCAAGGCGGTGGGGCATCTAATTGAAACGCAATTTCCTGAC